CGTGGCAACATTTATTTTTCAAAAAAGTTTCAAAAACCTAGTGGAAACGTAAATTAGGTGAAATATCCCATTTTTGCCTATTTTTGAGTAAAATCGAAAAATTTATAGCCCAGTCAAGATCCGCTAAATTATGTCAGAATATCAACATGTACTCTATTTTACCTGCTCAATACTATGCAGTTTAATAAAAGCTTTAAAACCAACAGAAAATACTTCGGTTTTTGAAAAGGTTTTCTAGAAATCTTCCGAAGTACACGAGTATTTTTTTCTATTCTCAAGTAGAAAATCGTTTGGAGCAGATAAAATAGAGTACATGTTGATATTCTAACATAATCTGGATGGATCTTGACTGAATTATTGATTTTTTTGAGAAGTAGAAAACAGACAGAAATGGACAGAAATAACTCTAAAATAGTCAGTTATTTGAGGAATGGGATATTTCACCTAATTTACGTTTCCACTAGGTTTTTGAAACTTTTTTGAAAAATAAATGTTGCCACGAGATTCAGCATAGTCGACAACCTATGTTTTCATGCATTTCTGGCAGTCTAAACCGAACGACAGAGAAGTCCTAAGGGTTCGGGAAAAGGTCCGAGCGCCCGAACCAAGCAAAAACAAACTTTTGTTTAGATCTTATTTTATAGAGGACACTTTAGACTATCTATCTACAGGAAAAGAACGATAGATTACTATGTCGGTTTCTGGAAATCCAAGCTGGTTTTCAAAGATCTTGTAGAAAACCGCTCTTTTGAAAGTTTTCAAATAACGATTTTAGTTCTGAAAGTATAGCTTAAACTGTGGTCCTTCGATTGCTAAAAACCGTACATCTCTGTCTTTTATTGTTTTTGAGTTATTCAGAAAACATTCGAGTGCATTATATTTTGGGATGCATAGTAGTCTTTCACTAACTATTTAGAATAAAATTGGGAAAACTGCACAAAGCTAGAAGAAAGATTATCTGCAGCGACATCTCTTGAAACTTTGCTAATGATTCCGCTATAGAAATGGGATCTCAGAAAAATGTGTGTTGTCTATTGTTAAATTTTTGTTTTTATCATTGAGCAAGAATTCAAAAATCTTGTTAGTAATTTTTATAGCTAATATTTAATTTTCGAGGCATAGTCTTTTCTTTTGTGAATGACATTTTTTTTTATATAATTTTTTTGTGTCGATTGTATACGTTCATTAGATGTATGCAAATAATAACGCTTGAATCTTGATTAGTTATAGAATATTGATTAACTTATTAAGACCGCAGTGTTTATTCGCAGCCTCATCTCTCTCTTTGACGGAATATTGTCAAGAGAATTGAGACATCGGTTTTTTTCATGTATATTAACAGTGCGAGAACATCAAATGTGTTTAATCGAATTATAAAGCATCCATATATATTCTGATGTTAAACGTTTCTGTCCTTTTTCGTTCTACGTTGTTCATTTGCAGGAATATCGGATATTTTATAGATCCAAATCAATGAGCAATTGCATTTAATTATCTGAACAGAATTTTTCTTTTGTGGTGTGTTTAGCTTCTATGGTACACATACACATACACATACACATATACAATGATAACAGATGCTCACAGATGAAACAGAAATCTCAGTATGACTTCTCATTTCGTTAAATGAATAGACGTGATACTGACATTTTCTAATCTGAGTCGTTTAAAAAACCATTTTATTAATCGAAATGTCAAATGGAGTGGTATTTCTTTTTTTGTCTTATACATCAAAAAAAAAACTTTTTCTGATTTAATTATATGATTATATGATATTTTTTTGGTATGATGCAACAACATTATAGTTCATTCCCTGTGAACGTCATAGTATCTCGTTCAATTTTCATCAGATAATTCTTCTCTATATTTGTTATGGAAAAAAAGATTTAATGTATATTTTTAGTACTAGAATTCTTAAAAGGAAAAGAGAAAAGGAACACTTTACTTCAAACAGCATATATAAACTCTGAGAATGACATTTTTTTAGGCTTTATCACGTTCTATTAGTTATAACTATAAAAGCGTATTTCACATGAATTAGATCCAACAAAACTGGACGTTTTTTGGGACGCGAGAAGCTTTAATAGCTTATTTGTTAAGCATGTGGCTGTCAAATCATCATTGACATTTCAGGACCTTGAAAATGCATAATTATTCTGAGAATACCGCTCACTCTTGATATTATTCTACGCTAAAATGTTTTATTTCTTGATGCCTTCAACTTATCGGTCAATATTTTAATTTTTTCACAACTTTGAATGGTTTTCTTTGAACATCCGTGACGACACCATATTGTAGTTCACGCATACATTCATATTCTAATGATCGAAAAACGTTGAACATTATTTCAATTAATATTGTATGCTAATAGTCTATATATAGATAGATACTCAATCAATATAGAAATACTTTCTATATCTGTTTTTTACATATAGCATGCTCATTTATACTTATAGGAAAGTGCTGCTGTTGTTGCCTTTTTTTTTTCTTTTCTTTCTTATTTAATATATACATAAATACTAATTGTATTGAAATAATGTCTATTAGTCTGCTGTCTGTTGTTGAAGATTGAACATTGTGTATACATGTATACTACTGACGCTACTAAAAAAACTAAAAAAAAAAGAATGGTACAAAATAAGTGACGATGAACGAAGTTTGTTTCTTTTTTTTCTTCCCGTTATTTTTACACGATATAAACTTCTCAAAATAAAAAACTGTTGTCTCATGATATATGTACGTATAATTCATCATTAAAAAAACCCTTAGATGAGTAACTCAATAGGGAATAACAATGATATAGAGAGCAGAGAGAGAGAGAAAGAGAGAGAGTGAGAGAAATATTACTAGAACAAATATAAAATCCATTCCATGAAGAACAAGAGAGAGAGAAAGGGAGAATGAGAGCAATGAATCAAGTGTTCTTAAAATATATTACACGAACACGCGCATGTATAATGAACGGCATGATGGTGTTACTATATGAAAATTTATAATACTTTTTTTTTCTTACTAGTGTTTTTGTTCTCTACGTATTGAGAATTGAGGAAAAAAACTAGACACAAGCCTCCCTAGAGCAGCAGTGAATAGTTGATGTGATGCTGCGTAGATAGATAATACAAAAGAATTTTCTCTTTCTTTTTTTTTTTTTTCATCGAAGAAAAAAAATGTGGAAACACAAAAAGTGACTACAGTTACTAGTATTACTCGAACACATCTTAAAACTTATAGACATGCATGAAAGAGAAAAGCTAAGAAGAAATAGATATAATCGTTAATCTTTTTTCTTCTTGTCATCGTGTTATTGTAAACTTCCAGATATAGCATAACAGAAAGAATGGGTTGTACGGGTACAAAAAATGAAATTAAACATGAATCAAATTTAATTGATAAAAAACATCAAGATGGTGAAGAAATAATTAATGATGGATTCCGAAAATGGTTAAAATCAAATCGTCCACGAGCCGATGATTATGTTTTAAGAGATATTTTATTATCACAACAAACATCAACTCAAACAATTGAATCAATCGAAGATGATTATCGAACAATCGTCGCTAAAGCATTAGATTTAATTTCAAATCGAAATGATATTAAATCTATAACAAAATTGACAAAAGTTTTACAAAAAGAAATATCTACAGCATCACCAAAAAAAGTTAATCAAACACTTGATATTTTAAAACAGACGGCCGATAAATTACGTGATGGCAAAATAGTATTGGACGGAAATGGACAACAAACAATTACTCTTAACGGAGAAGTGGTAAGTGATAGAAACAATCAAGGATATGTAATAGTGTTCTATTTTCTTTTTTTACAGGTAACAAATACTACTCCAACGAAAGAACCATTGAAAGAAACAAAAATTCAATCATCATCTCAGCATGGTTTTACAAGTACATCTACAGAGCCTGGAATTGGTCTACGTGAGGCACTAGAAACGGCGAGAATATATTTTTACAAAGTAAGTGTACATATCTATACACTTTTGTCATTGATCAGTACTTATCTATAACATGTGTTTAGGGAAAACAGGCAGCCATATTTGTTAATCACCTTGGCGGTTATGATGTTAAAGTTATTGACGACGCAGATGATGCAAATCATGATGGTAACCTGTTACGTTCTGTTATTGTTACTGAAGTTAAACTAAGACCAAAGACAACTACAACAACAGACAGATCGGAACCAGAACACAAAATTCTCGATGGACAAGAAATAAGTGAAGACTTTCGACGTTCAATTGATGCAGCATTAGCCGGTCTCCAACAAATCTATCATAAAACATCTGTAACAGATGCTACTCAACATCAAACGCCTCACCGATGTCCAATACCTGTCAATATCTTACCATCTAATAAAACAGAAACTTCAATTGTTCAACAATCAACATCACATGGGAAAATTATTTCAACAACTCCTCATCATCCTGTCATACAATATGGGATGACAAATATGATTGATAAAAACAAATTGATACATCCATCATCAAAAAATGATCTCGCACCTTCTTTAACTACGGAATCATCTGAAAATATAATATTAAATAATCATGCAAATATCAATAAAATATACGATACACCATCGCATGATTTATCTAAGAATGTTAAAAAATCGACAAGTATTGATACGAGTAATGATCAACACCAAGATGGATCAAAGTATTTGACTGACATAGTAAGTCAAATAGCTGAACGTCAAAATCAATTAAATCAACAACTAACTGCAACAAATTCAGAAATATTACTGCCACCAACAATTGATATACAACCAAGAATTGTACAGATGATCGATAATGTTAATGAATTAATGATGGATTCAATTGAATCAACAACAAAAGCGGAAATCGGTTATCCAGTACCACCACCACGATACGATACTGTTGAAAAATTAGTCTCGATAGTACAACAAGATAATCATACAAATATTGAACGTATAGTACAGGAACTCAAAGAACATGGCGAAAAGGCATCAGTCGTGCCCTTACCACCACAAGAACATCCAAATATTGAACATATTGTGAGAGAATTAAAAGAACATAGTGAGAAAATGTTACATGCCGATAGAAAATCACCAGCCTATTCTGTCGGTATTACATCAGAACCTATTACATCAGGTATAACATCTACTCCAACAAAAAAAGAACATACCAAATTACGTCGTGAAAATCGACCAAAATCATTTATTAGTGACGATAAATTGTCATCGAATACTACAACAAATCGTCATAGTTTAAATAAACAAATATCCGAATCGTACTTAGATGATATGACACATTTAACACGAGTGGGTATTTCAAATCCAACACTTCATACATCAAAATCAACATCATCGACAAAAATTGATGAAGAAAAAGAACAACATCAGCAACAACCTGTTGTATCGACATCGGTTAATTCTATAATCGAAGAAGAACCAGAAGTAAAAAGGTCGGTAGCAAAAACAGCATACACAACCCAAGGTGAGACCAAACGAGGTCAAAATGTTACATATACAGAAACAATTACATCACAAAATAATGGTGAACATTCATCACGTACAATAACAGAATCGTATGATGAACCATTGAATCACGATAAAAATGGTGAACAAACAACAACGCTAAAAGTTGTTACAAAATCAGAGTTTTCAAGGCCTAATTCGGGTGAAAGTATTATGGAACAGTCGGTTCAAGTAATAACCGTCAAAGTCAGAAATGAAACAATCAAAACAACAATAAATAATACAACTGATGACACTGCCTACGAACGACGACCAGTTAGTGAATTAGTTAAAAATTTTGAACAAGAAACTTGAAAGATAATTTCTATCAACTTTAATATTATCTTACAAGAATTTCATTATTGCTTAATCAGGATTCAATTAATCAAAAGTACATCATTAAACGACAAAATACTTAACATATGTGTTATCAGAACCATTATTGTTATATTGTTCCTAACAACAAAAGCTTCCAGTAAGCGTCCAGTATCTATTTCTATTAGAACAATTGTTTGATCTGAAATTATATTTTCATTTTCCGTAGTTTTAGATGTAGGTATATATCTTAGAATTTGATCATTCATAAACACTTTACAAACCTGCATCTACAAACTAAGTAGATTATCTGTATAACTTTAAATAGATTAGAAATACGCTAAATACTTGATATAAGAAATTCTCTATATTTACTTTCTTTTGTTCAGTTTTGAGAAACAATATCGTATTATTTTGTATTCTAGATCGATCTTTTGCTCTGAAACTGTTGTCGTATGTACATTAACAACGTTCATTATCTCTGAACTATTTAATGCTTTGAGACTTGAAATCCATGTCAGTTTCTATGTATAACATGAGTTAAACATCATTTTCTTCCTTCTTTTATATGCTGTTGTATTTTATACTCACGTATGTTCGTGTTCTCCTCTCTTTTTTCTATATGCTTTTGTTATTTTTTTGTGTTATATTCGTACAGTTTTTTTGTGGTTAATTATTTGTGCAATCTAAGTGTGTCACAGTGCCATAAATTATTATATATATTTATCTTTTTTCTTTTTCTTTTGCTTTTCTAAAAGTTCTGTATTTGTGCACTTAAAAATAATATATTTAAAAAATGGAAAAATGATAAATTGATTTCGGGTAACAATGAAAAATTCAAATCTTGATGACAGTATGGTAAAATTAATAACTTCATATTCTCATGTATACATGTTTAATTGTTACATTTACTCCAATTGGTTGATTTCTACAATTTTTTGTAGAACAGAACCGATATCAAAAAAATTTTATTTCTATCCAAAAATCCTCTAACAGTCTTCTATTGGTAGAATAAGCATAGTTTTTTTTTCTACACTGTGAACAAGACTATTTGAAGAACGATCATTTTAGATCATTTGAAGAACGATAAGCATTATCGTTCTTCAAATGATCAAACAGTGAAACGATGTGTACAGCTAACAATTTAATAATTCGAATTAAAAACGTTTTATCTTGTGAACAGTGAAAAATGTCCCTATAAATTCAAGTAATAAAAAGTCAATTTGTTCTAACGTACTAGATATAGAGCGTTCTCTCTCATCCATACTACCTATTTTAGTTGATTATTTTGTTCATCAAGTGTCTTACATATTCAAAAAGTTGAATTAAAAAGGTTGCGTAACAATCATTTCATATATACACTCTGCAAATAATAATTTATATATTCCAATATAAATTCACCATATTTCATCAACTAAGCTAACACAACTAAACCAATATAATAGTTAATATATTCTCATAGAATTATGCATGATGTATTATAATACAAACTAGTTGACACTGAGAATATGTTTCACGTTTTAAGTGATTTGAATAATTCAATATTAGAATCATGATTGTATAATTCAAGATATAAAACATTATTAAGGATTAAATTTCATTTCCGATATAAATCAGTTGTTATCATCCATTTTCATTTGCAAAATGTCATAGCATTTAAAACTGTTTCCCACGTTATTCTTTCATTTTCTATTATTACAGTTTTCATACTATGCGCAAACTAGAGTAACACTATCCCTCTGAAAAATACATAAATAGATTTCAAAGATTCAGATGGTTTTGCAAATGAGCCTAAAGAATTTTTCTTTTTTTTAAAAATTATTTGCAAACATCATTAAATATATCTGCTTAGGATCGACTAATGGAAGATCTGAACGGATCTTTTACACATATACATATTTCAACATAATATCACTTCTTCTCTTCTCTTGCAGCTCATCAGACAGATAGTTTCAGAGCTTTAATCTTAGTACTATCTTTTCATGTGTACGGGTGCTCCCTGAGCTAAAAGATGTGATTGCTAAGTAAGACTGCATGCATCATCAGAAGTTTAATTTGATGTTGAGAAGTCATTTTGTGGTAATGGTCAAATTTTGCGTTATGAAAATATTGACATACGGGTTAAAACAAGCAGACAGTTAAAAAATAACATAAAATTACTTTATAAGACCTTTATTGACATTTAAATGGTAAATTCAAGCCATATTTAAAAAATCGTTTTAGCACCTTAATGAAATTTTTCGGATACATAACCCGGTGGAAGAAGTTTCATGTACATAGTTTTAACCACGGTAAAGTATGTTTTATAATCCCTGCAAATGTTTGATAAGCTAAGTAACTGTTCTATCACCATACATACAACCCATTACCTTTAAAAAATTGTAATTGACATCCGGATAATTGACAACGTTAAAATCGAACTTGTTACGTTTTTCATACAGTTTGATTTTGCGCAGCTGTTTTCGACTAAAAATTTAATCCTTTCATTAAAAACTTCTCTACTGACTATCGTGAGACTTTTGTTCTTGTTCTTATGAACATTTAAAGGACTCTGAAATGGAACAAAACAGATGTTAGTCAATATAACCGTGTTTTGAGACAAATAACTTTTCTTTCCTATTCATTCCATACTTTCAATCAGTAGATTATAAGGTATATTGGTATAAAGTGTCGAAAAATCATAAGTTTGAACATTTCTTGAGGATTTTTTTCTTGTTTATTTCTCTGATACGTTGTAACGCTTTATTTTGAACTATCAAAAGGTAAAAAAACATTGATTTTAGTTCTACTTTGAATATTTGTGCAATATTTAATTTGTTGTTGATATATTACACGCAAGGTGAAGCACAATGTTTGACCAATATTTTTGTACAACAGAAAGAGGACGTTATTATAAAACTCTTTAACTGGGTTTTTATGAAATTTTGGAATCCAGTACATAAACGGTAATTTGTTCATATGGTGTTTGGTATTGAAATTGTAGTCATTGTGTAAAATTGCATTGTTGATCAATAACCTCTGATACCTTTTTGTTATGACAGATTTTACAGGTGTCTAAAGGGATGCGGTATCCAATTTTATTTAACAGTCGTTCCGAATAGAGCGTTTTTTACATATTTCTACAATATTTCTATTGGCTTTAACAACCGGAACAATTACATACTTATCATGTATATCCTTAAGGGCTTTTAACACGTCCGGTTGTTTTAATTTGGATGTATATGAACTGTATGCTCGATAATTTTTTCTTAGCTTTAGTTGTTTTATTCGCTGTTTAACATTCTTCAAGGCTCCACTTCTCCGTAATTTAAAAAATGCTTATCAGCGCAGACCTCGGGTCTGAAGTGTAACTACTAACTTCAAATGTGAGGGGCTAAGGTGAGATTGTATGAAACCAATGTCTTGAATGTGTACATTTACTCGCTCAAATTTGTCCCCGATAGCTTGTCCGCGTATACAATGTATGTTCAGTATTGCCCGTGGGTCGTGTACGTTCGCAAGCGTTAGGGCTCGGAGGGGGCGGGGGAAGGGGAAGGGAGTGAATAAAATTTTCAGATTTTCATTCAAGTTATAAGAATTTAAAGTTTATTTTAGGGCGAAGTTGCTTGATCATGGCTGCTTTTAATAATTTTATCTCGAACATAGAAAATAATTAGAAGACATTGTTGTTGTGCAGGAGTGTCATATATGCTCCATAGTTACAACTCGGTTGAAGAAAATCAATATAAGTCATTGTTTCATACCTGTTCAATACCTAATTACTGTCTGTTTCCGAAAATAATGGCCGCGGGTTATTTTTGAGTAACTTTTGATAGAAGGTAGATAGAGACTTGCGACTTTCACTATCCGATAGCCAAGATCTGTACGCATCTTTTCACAAGCATAAATGATTTTGGAAAAAGATCCAAAGATCGGATTTTTAGCAGATCTTTGGAAAACCAGTTTGAATCTCTGTGAACTGACATAGAAATAGGTTGATCTTCCTTCATAGATAGATAGTCCAAAGTGTCCTCTGCAAAACGGAAACTAAGCAAACCCTTAATTTCTTCCGGTTCAGGCGTGGCATCGGATTTTCGAAGAGTTCCAGGATCGATGTTTCTTTACATGTGGCAATTCCGAAAATAAATGGAAACACAGGCAGTCGACCATGCTGAATCTCGTGGCAATATTTGTTTTTTAAAACACTTGCAATAACCTAGTAAGCACCTATATTAGGTGGAATGACCCATTTTTGCCGATATTTGAATAAATTTAAAAATTTCATAACCCAGCCAAGATCCATCCAAATTACGTCAGAATATCAAGTGTACTCTATTTTACCTGCTCTATATGGTGCAGCTCAATAAAAGCAATAAAACTCAACAGAAAAGACTTTGGTTTTTGAAAAGATTTTCTAGAAATGTTCCGAAATACAACAATTTTTTTTACCATTCTCAAGTAAAAAAAACATATAGAACAGGTAAAATAGAGTACATCTCACAAATAGAGTACAACTAATTATTATTGATTTTAATCAAGATGGTCCTTTTCGGTTTATTTTATTTGCCGAAGCTAATAGTTGAATGAAAGAAATCGCGTGATACATCATTAGAAAGAGCTTTTTAAGCATTACAAGACTGTTTATTTACTTTTTTTATGAACTGGTCTCTAACAAGAGAAACAGTCCGTTTTCGGAACGCCCTGTGACTATCACGATTTTGCGCTACTGAGATGATGGCGATAAAGCCAGTTTTCTCTATGTTTCTGCACTTTTCCAAGAAATAAACATTGCTACGCGATTTAGTGTGATAGATTATCTACGCTCCAGCTGATTTTCAAGCTACCAAAAGCCAGTGGACACCATTCCAGGAGTTTCCCGGAATCGAGGAGTCATACCTCAACCGTTGAAAATCAAGGTCCCAGTTAACTGCCATTTCAGAGAGGACACTATGCACTATCTAATCATGCAAAAAAGACAATATATTATCACTTTGATTTTTGGAGAACCAAACAAGTTTTCTAGAGATCCCCAGGAAAAGCTATCTTTAAAAAGATTTTGAAATTTCCTTTGCTTATGTAAAGATATGTTAAAGTCTTGGCTTCAAAATGGTGAAAATCTGAATTCTCCAGCTCTTTTCGTTCTCGAGATATTCAAAATACAACAGAGACCATTTTTGTTTGACTACTGTACCGAGCAGTTGACTACAGTTAAAATGTGGGGTCAAAACCCTACCAAATTTTCTGAGAAAATTAAGCTTCTGAAGACAGAACTTCCGCAAGAAAAATGTTACCCATATTGTGAAGGGCGCCAAAAAGACGTTTTACATCATGCAGTGCGAAGATTTTGAAATTAAAAATTTGATAAGATCTTTACTATAAGATTCTTATCAGAATTGCTAAGGTTTTTTCTGAAGGGTTAACATATGGATTGATAAAAAATCAAATTTAGAATTCAAGTTTGATTTCAATTTTTTAGAATGAGTTGAATAATAAAGGCAACTTTAATGTTAATCATACTAATTATTTTAATGTAAATTTTCGATCTTTATGGTAATTTTCAAACAGCGTTTAGCTTAGAGAATTTTGTGGACAAGCAGTAAGTTAATAACAACAGTGTCCTGAAATGTTACGGTAAATGTGTAACAATGTGAAGCTAAAAGTGTCAGAGCAGCCATGATCAAGCAATTTCGCCCTAAAATAAACTTTAAATTCTTATTTGGATTTCAGGTTTTTCAATCGTAAAATTTCTATAACTCGAAAAGAGAAGATGATAGAACGCCTGGCAAATACATCTAGGCAATGTTGTCTAGTGTTTATGATAAAGTTTTGAAGTCGATCGGATCAAGTTATCAAGAGGTCATACTGTGACTGGACTGAAGGGACTCGTGAAAAAACACATTTTGCACATACGTCGTTTTCTTCATGGTATTTGCAGCGACGCTTATATTTCCACGAAAAATCATCGAAAATTCTTGGAAGTTGTCTCATTGTGAAGAGAACACTGTTGAACACTTTCTTCAATCAGACTATGTATAAGAAAAAATTTTGAATGTACAGGAAAAGCGAGAAAAGTTTGTGAAACTACGAAATTGAGTTTTTTCAGGCTTTGAAAACTTAAAAAATTTATAACATTTCCAAAGGAGATTGTGGAATGCTAGAAGTGGTCTCATTTTGTAGCTGATACTTTCCTCTACATTAGAATATATTCAGCACAAAATCCAAAATTTTTCGATGCGACTTATTCGTCTAAAGACGAATATACGAAAATTCTCTAATATGATTTGCAACGTTTTCTAATAAATAGATTTTATTTGAACAAAAAACAGCCAAATTTAAATAAAGGGATTCCAATTAGGCTTTGGCCTGGTTTGGACCGAAATGGTCCTTTACTCAGTAGATCTGCTTGAAAACTGTCCATTATGAGAATTGTTAGACTAATTTTTAAATATATAACCATAAAGACTCTTACACGCTACAAAAGCCCTAAATTTGTTCACTTCATAACTTTGTTTTTGATTTTTCCGTGAACTTTGTTCTCATACCTATACTACAGATAATGTCACATGAATCGTACGTGTTACAGATTGCTGTTGGAAGAATCAGGTCAAAAATTATTTTAGAGAATTTTTCTTACAATAATTTCTCCGAAGACCTTGGAAAATCTTACAATAAGATCTTATAAAAGTTTATAACGAATTCAACTGAGCATTATTAGTTGATGTGCCTGATTTTTGCTGACAGACCGTTCCATTTCCCTTGTTTTTTTTTCTGAAATCATGTAAGATCTCATGATTAGAACTCTCACGTTTTTGTGAGACATTTTAAAATCTAGGAACTTCTGTCCCAAGATTTTACAAGGTCAAATGATTTCTTCTCTTATAAGATGTTGTTATTTCTAGCAGACTGATCTATGACAAGAAGCTACACAAAACAGCATGATTTCCAAACCGAGCTCATATATCATGGAATCTGTTGTCTGACATAGAAAGAGATGCAGATTTAAGGACATCCCTTATGAGTATTTTAAGTTTTTGCCGAAGAGACTGAATAAACTCACTTGTTTTAGTTTTTTAATTTTTCCTTTCTTTGTTCTCTTGTGTTGTTTATCTGTTGATACCATCTTCTATACTTCTTGTTTCAAGAATTTTTCTAATGTATAGTCCGATAGAGAGCATTCTCTTCATAATCATATTACTTTTCAAATTCGCTGAATGCTTTGTATCTGTGCTCGAAGATATGAAAATTTCCGCAATATCACGAAAAAACTATTTAATGTAATAAAAGTAAAGTGCATTTAGTAGTAATGCTCAAAACACTGACGGCTCCAAAATCGCATTGTGACCACTCGAAAAAATGACCCATTGAGCCCAAATTTTTATCACAGATAGTTCAAACTGTATCTGAAGGTCTTTCTTAAAACGCTCTCAACTTCAATTTTTTGTGATGAGAGGATTTTTAGAATCAAAAACTGTCCATATAGCCAACTTTCAGAGAATTTCTGCGTTAAATATTAAAATAACGCAAAAAAAGAGCGACTTGTGTACAAAATTTTACAGAAAGGTCAACTAATACAGAATTTTGTATAAAATTTTTTGTAGAATATGTAGAATTTTGCAATAATTTCACCTTTGTAACTTTGCTTCTATCTCTGCCAACAAGGTGGAAAAAGACGAAGGCTGAATTTTTATACAAAACGGTTTTTTCAGTATTTTTGATCCAGTCCCTTCAAAATTCTCCGATTATAAACAGTGAAGATGCTTTATTTGCTCATCAACCCGAAAACAATTCCACAAATGCGCATTTGAGAGCGCATTATAGCCGTTATTTATCTGCGATGGTACAGCTAATATCTACCGAGTTCAAGACAGTTATAGAACAAATCCGAAAATAGAAAACAGTACATATTTAGGATGAATAGTTGGACTGGATAACGTTCATTAAAAAAACTTCCATTAAAGCGTTTTGTTTTAATGAAAGCCCTAGTCCTTTCATTAAAATGCCGCCTGCAAAATGGCTGTGACCTGAAGTTTTTGATGGCACAAGAATTTCATTAAAAGTTTTAATGAACTTCTATTTAATGGAAGTCTTTTTAATTAAAAATTGTTTAATGACACTCCGATAGCCCGAATAGTTGATAATCCATAACTCTTTGTTTGTTAGCGGTATAGTAGAATAGTTTACATGGAATAATATTAAAACACTCTTTGCAGTTATTTACCATATTGTTATTTAAAAAATCATTGGACCATCTAAAATACAATGAACAAAAAAAATGTTAAAATATTGAAATAATTAAGAAAATTATTAACTTACCGCTAGTGAGTGTATCAAAAAATTTTGGTTGTCGAAATAATCTTAGTTTTCTGTCTTGTCGAGAATAATCTGATCGACTAGTTTGTTCACTATAGCTCTCAACCGATGATGAACCTTTATAATTACTATTGTTTCTTAAAGATGCATACAATTTTCGTGCTGCCTCAGCTGTACGCTGAGCATTAACATCCTTAATAGCCTATCAAAACAGAAAAGAAAAATATTAACAATAACTAAGTCGTTTTTTGGAACACTGCATAAAGAAATATAAAAATCTGTCTTTAACTCTTTATATAATGGTTGTTTTATTCCTTGAACTAACACTTATTTACAGATTTTTGTGTTGACTGTGCACTAAGGCAATGTTATAACACTTAATTCAAAATATTAAAATCATATTTTTTTCTAGTATCCATTATTATCCAAGATGGCATCATCAAATTAAAAATATTTCTTTTTCACTTGAAATCTGCAGCAAGTAGAAATATGAAATTCTACATAGTCTACCTCTCGTGGAGCAACATTATCGTTTACTGTAGTTTTTTCACACAAATCTTCTTTAGTTATTGGCGTTTGAAGTTCATTACTCTTCGCCAATTGTAGACTCCGCATTAGTGTCAACAGTTTTGGAGATTTTGGAGCTAATGGCGGCATAGTGACACAGTGAGTTTCGTACATTAGAGTACTGGGTGGATTTATATCTCGTTTTGATTTACCTATTAATTAAAAACAACGAAAGCCTAGTGATAAACAAAATCAAAGAAAAGAATGTTAATCCCAAAGACCTTCACTTTTCCTCTCACGTCATGTCAAATAAACATATTTCTCTGTCTCGGTATACATGTATCCAGATTACTGCACGGTTGAAAGAAGTTTCTAATGTTTTCAGACAATTTACTCAAAAACGCAGATCACTTTTATCACATGTGAAAAAACTCGTCAAAATATCATTTCCTCACTACTTTTGATTCTTGAGACCATTTCTAATCTTCATTTTTTACTATTTTCTTGGTGAAAAAACAAATGAAAAGAGTAGTACTGGATCAGTACCATTCCCCTCTGTGAAAGTACAAAAAAGAATTGTGCTCTACAATTATGATCAGCTTCGTTAAACTTTTAACATGGACTCCTCATTTCATTGAAACAACGTGGGTAAATCCTTCTTCTTCATACCGTTTGTTTTTTTAGAAAAATGAATATGAATTAACTCACGTTTTTTTGATGAAGTTAAATTTTGATAAAACGACATCATTCGAGATCCAAATTTTTTTCGTATTAGACAAAGTACAGATAGAACAGCCAGTATAATAAATAAAAATAGTAAGCCGAGCCAAAATGGATGCATGAGCTCGTCATCATTGATCATGGCTGTTATTCTAAAGAAAAAGAAAATATTATCGAAGAGATATATTGGCCTGACCGGCTTACTCTGCTACCACAAGGGAATTCCGTGATGTTTTTTCTTCATTTTGTTGTGTCGATAAATACCAAACCAAACTATGCTGAGAGTCACGAGACATCTTCAGTTGAAGAGAGAGCCCTTTCTCTTCAACTGAAGATGTTTCGTGACTCTCAGCGTAGCTTGGTTTGGTATTTATCGACACAACAAAATGAAGAAAAAACGTTACGGAATTCCCTTGCGGTAGCAGAGTTAGCTCGCCACGCCGATATGTAATACTGTGCAAAAGTAAGAGCATTCCTCTTACCGAATATGTCTAGTGTATCTTCTACAGTCAATGTGCACCATAATCGTGAAAATATACCACCAAAGAGACGTATAATGATAAAAATATATGTAAAGTATTGTCAATAGAGTTTGGTGCACATGATAATTTCAAGTAATTTACTTTGTTTGTACCAAAAGTCCACTTTAATTCGGTATAGAAGTGACGATAATCATCTAGCCGTTCCAAAGCATTGTTGTCACTTCTATACCGAATTAAAGTGGACTTTTGGTACAAACAAAGTAAATTACTTGAAATTATCATGTGCACCAAACTCTATTGACAATAAAAACGCAATTATAACAGCAGCTATTTTAAGTTTCATTTTATTTTCGTTTATTAATTAACATTAAAATTGTTTCGACGTTTCGAACAACATAGCGTTCATTTCAACAATTCAAAACATAAAACCGAAAAATGCAGACAATAGAGTGGCAAAATACTCTTGAAAATGACTGTAGACAGAGAACTAACATGTAAATATATATATATATATATATCCATACGAAGAGAGAGCGATCGAGAATCTAAGGTAGAAATACATTATAGAATTATTTGATGAATTTCAAAAGAGAGAGATAACAAAAAATATTTTAGTTTTCTATTTATTTTATATCATAGGACGGTTTAGACTCAACTGAGACACAAATTATATTCTCAACTGAGATACAATCCATATTTTAATAAAGTACCTCAGTTGAGAATATCTCAGTTGAGAAACCAATATTTCTGCGAATTAATTCGTTTCTCAACTGAGACACAATTTTGACTAGTGCGTTGAAACGTGCTATTGTGCAACAGTGCAGTGTAATAAGGTTTATTATTCTAGAATTCTATTGACTATCGAAGGAATTATTGCCATATTACATGGTCAAACGTTGTGTATTTTCATGTCCATAGTTACTACTTAACACGTTATTTTATCGTTTTTCAAAACAACTGAACAAGAACAAGCATTAACTGTACAAATCCACCTTTCACTTTCCATTCTCAATTGAGATACTCGATTAAAATATGAGTTGTACCTCAGTTGAGACGTTACGCATAGGACATGTTGAATGAAAAGCAAGAGAGTACAATTTTAATTTTAATTAATAAATTAAGATAAAATATAATTTAAAATAGCTGCTGTTGTAATTGCGTTTCTATTAAAATTATTATCTGTTAACAAATTTAATAAGTCTATCGACACATACTTTTTTAACCACAATATGTCTCCATGGTGATATATTTTCACGATTATGTTTACATTGACTATAGACATATCGAATTTCATCGGTTTAAACTTGTTGGATGATCAGTATTTAGTATGATTATTAACTATAAAAACTTTCAAATCACTAGTTCTCATGATTCATGAGTTCACTTACTTTTACAAGGTACTGGAGAAATTTCTTTAGAACAAATGTGTATTGAAATAGATAAATTATATCTAACATACATTCTAAATGAGTGCATCAAGTTTTTTTATTTCACATTTCTAGATTGTAAATAATCTGTAATTAGGATGTACAGAACGTAAACTATATTGCTTCTTGTTTTTTTATATATCTAATATAAAGAGAATATAAAGATGAAAGAAGAAATGAATGATCCATTACCATTTCTGAGTAAGGTAAGTTCAGATTATCAAATTATATTTTTATCTTTCTATACACGCAGGCAAGCGAAAGAAATACTAGTAGTTTACGCAGGAATGATTTCTATATAAGAAAAAATGAAATCTATGAAAGGAAAAGAGAATAAATCTAAGATTTATTTAACAGTTGAACATTGTTTTTTATACTCTAAAAGTCTTAGTCTTTTTGAGTTTCTAGTAACTGATAAGTGTTTGTAAAACTAAACTGAATTAAAATTGTATTACGTCAAGTTTCACATTTCACATATATTTAAATTTAGATTTCTATCTTGCAGCAAATGTTAGTCTATATCATACTGAGATTAACAAACAAAATTCTATTTTGTTCCTATTTAGAGTCAAAGAGATCGTTAAATCAGTAATTATCATCTGACGAGAGATCAATTGGATCGATTCATATAATAATATACAACACCGATCGATGAATTTCAAATCATAATAATTAGTTTTCTAGTACAAACTGTGAAACTCACTCGGTACACTATGGCCTGAACGATTTAGTTCCCGAGGATCTAGTTCCCTATAATAAAAAATGGATAAAAAAATTTCTTTTTCGAAAAGTTAAGGATTTAGTTCCCTATGATTTTGTTAAATCTTTGCATTCTGTTATACTTTCTTCTTTCTTAATTAGATTAGCAATCAAGCTTTTTTTCTTTTCTTTCTTTAACAAATTAATTGATATAGGAAACTAAATTATAGGGAATTAAATCCTTAACTTTTCGAAAAAGAAATTTTTTTCTCTATTTTTTATTATAGGCGGGAACTAAATCCTCGGGCACTAAATCATAATAATCGAATATTTACTTAGACGCTCAGTCTAAAAGGGATTAGACTTTTTTCAAGCTATTAAGAGTATCTCCCCTCTTTTTACACCTTGTTGCCAAATGCGGAACACACGTCCGATTGAGCTCAAATTTATAGCAGAGATAGACCATCGAAAAAGAAAATCGAGGTATTTTTGCCCAGAATTTTCTGAAATGTTCTTATATGGGTTTTCTGGAAAACTCCAGTTTTCATCGGATCACATTACGACTCCTCGAAAAAATGATCCGACCGAGCTTAAATTTTTACCACAGATACTTCAGATCCTATCTCAGATTAAAAATTTTTTTTTCCAAAAAATAAGCTTTCCTTCTGGAGAAATACGAAAAATGCTGAAAGCCAGCGAAAAAAACTGAAAAAACCTGATTTTTCTTGCGTGATTTTCAGCATTTTTCGTATTTCTCGAGAAGGCAAGCATTTTTTTTAAAAATACCTCGATTTTCTTTTTCGATGGTCTATTTCTGCTATAAATTTGAGCTCAATCGGACGTGTGTTCCGCATTTGGCAACAAGGTGCAAAAAGAGGGAAGATACCCTTAAACTTCTTGGCTTTTGGACCATTGGAATATTAACTGTGTTAAAAGCTTTACATAACCACGTGAAAGATGAGACCCTAAAAAAGACTTCTTATCAGGATTTTCACGTGAAGTCTAAAAACTTTTAAGATTTTTGAAAAATTTTCAAGAACGAAGAAGAGCATTTTCTTTGATGCGTCCATCGATTGTTTTTATAAGCTATATTCATTTCCGTGTATTTTAATATATCAGCAAAAAACGTTTTCCCTCTACCGTCGAGATGGGCGTTATGTTGTACGAAAAATAAATAAATAAAAATTGATTTTTCGTGAACTGGAATTATGCGAAACTTGAGGAGCACATACTAGTCTGAACATAGTGGGCATCCAGGCGGACATTTGATAAAAGATTGAAAGTGCGCTTTTTCCAAATTCAAATAGTATCAAATATACTTTGAGCTACGGGCTATCTAATGGTATAAAAAGTTTTGCTCCAGGTGCTGAATTTTCGGGAAAAAATATATGCAAAAATCTTCAGAATGTTATCAATAGCATTAATGATCGTAAATTTGTTCGTCAAGTTTCACTGGATAATCACTCACCACTGTCAACACTTCAGCGTCATGCTGCGGGTGATGAAGAACAATTTGTTCCTGAACGTCTACCATATTTTACCATTGAAGAAGAAAAACATTGAGCTAATCCGTTAACTATTCTACAGGTAAAATTTACGATTGTATTGAGTCGAAAAAAACATTTAGGACATGTTTGATTGATAAGTTTTAACTTTTAAGCAATGGGTAGAACCATTAATAATCTAATCTTTCTTAAACTAACAGCTGTTGACGCTTGGTAATGATTAGTGATGTTGTTGTGCTACCGGTTCTTCTTTTTTACTAAATGATGATGAATGGAAGTTAGCAGTAAAAAACTATCCACAGCTTTTGAAGGACGATGGAATTCATTATGTGCAACGTACCGCATCAGCCACCATTAACGTTAGAAGCGATGGATATTTTGATAATGACACAATTGTTTCACAATTCGAATGTCTATTTCAAATGTTACGGTTTAAAAAAGCGTATGTAAAACATGATATGAAATAATTGTTGATAATGCGAGAACTCATTCAGCAAAAGAATTTAGCTTAAAATGACTTTGGAAAAGGAAGTGGAATAAGATATCCGGTTAGTGTAATTGAATATTTAGACGATATTAAAAATAAAATAGAATTCTATGTGAAAACAGGACAATTTAAGGGGAAAAGTAAAAGGCTTGCTAGTAATGGCAAATGTACTTAACATTCCCGTACCACAAAATACTAAATTGGATGAGTTGCGAAATTTGATGAGTCAGCATAAAGCATTTCAAAGTTTAAGATCTATTATAGCCAAGTCTCACTCTCAACTATTTATTTGTGTTCTATCGTTATAAGTGTCAAAATTAGAAAGACTCAGTAGTCAATATAATGTAAAAATTGTTTTTCCGCCAAAATATCATTGCAAATTGAGGTGTATCGAAGGACTATGGTGTCATCCAAATCTTTTGTGAGAAAACGAATCGCTCAAACATTCCCAAAAATGCTGGTATCAATGGATGAACCATGTTTGGATTTTTTTGAAAAAAATGTGTATCTTAAACTAGTCCATCGATTTTGGTGTACATTACACGCTTATCAAAAAGGAGAAACTTATAATCGATTTCTGAAATTACTTTTAGACATGTATGCAAAGTAGACGTTGCTTTTCACAGAAAAGTAACGAACACTAATCTCAATAGTTAACAAAACAGTGTTGCATTTAAGTTTCTCTTCTTTTATTGTTTTCTAATTAAGCATTATTGTTCGTGATTCCTCATCTTGTTAAGCAGATTGGAACAGTGAATAAAAGTGAAAAAAAATGATCAGTTATACTATTTTAAAAAAACTCAAACCTTGGCCTTTGACGAAAACGTTTTTTAGAGACCTATTAGAAAATCTCTGGAGATCCTGGAACTATATATAATGAATTCTCTATAGTTCTTAATCTATATGGGATCTATAAAACTAGATTTGAATCAAAATTTTTAGTTTTAATAAAAAAATGACATGCGCGTTTATGAATAGGACCAAAAACACTGACGTTTCTAACCGAAAAAATAAAATTAAAAAAGAAATGATAAGTAACTTTTTTTGTGACATACTAACGAATACAATAATATAAAAATCTTGGCTTCATTCGTAACTAAAAAGAGTTGATGGGCTTGCCAGGCATGGAAAAGGGTTTTCCGCTATCGGCGAAATTCTAAAGCTTTTTATGGTGATATGATACTTGGATGGCATCAAAACTACATTTTCTAGACTCACGAGGGAACCTCCCGAGATGCCCACTTCCGGATCTTTTTTAATAAAATAGATTTCAATTTAGTCTATGGCTGCTGTTAATTTAAAAAAGAATCTTTTCTTAATGAAGCATGATTGTGGCCTGCAAATTTTTTCTGATTAAAATGAGATGTCTCCCAGCTCTACATGACCCTTCTTTGCAAAATTATACAATTTATAAGAAGAGCCCTAAATTGCTCATTGTCAGCTCAAAGCTACAGAAATAAGAAGAAATTAATTTAGGGCTTGTAAATTGTATAATTTTGCAAAGAAAGGTCATGTAGAGCTGGGAGACGTCTCATTTTAATCAAAAATTTGCAGGCCACAATCATGCTTCATTAAGAAAAGATTTTGGTTGTTTTTTAGAGTTTCTGAAAAACGGATTTTCTAGAAAAGGGGTCTTCAAGAGTCATGGGTCCGAATCCTTTTAGGGTATTTACTACCTTACTGAGGTCTATCTATCCATGAATTGTAAAACAGAACTTGACGAAATTAGAAAATGAATCTTTTTAACACGACGGCTATAAGTGGAGTATAATTAAAAACACAAAACAAAAGCAAAAATTCATTTTTTAATCTCAAATCCAAAGTATAGAACGGAATCTTCGAATTTTACACCAGAATATACCAGAATTTACATTCTCTAAACTAAACAAGTATTTGGCAAAAGTTAAGCACTTTAGAACATCCATAATAAAACAAGCAAGACAACAAAATATTATGAACAATTAGCTAAACAACGGTAAGATACGAATGATCAAATTCGCATATGCTATTGAAGACATTGTGTAGCTAAAAATATTAGTTGGACGATCAAAATTAGACATCATGGTCATAAATAAACGCTGTGGCCTGTATCGAAGATGACAATTTTGAACACACTATTCATATTAATAACTTATTACTCATCTATTTTTTAGTATAGAGATTCTTTTTTTGACATACAGTTACGAACAGTGTCATATGAAAAATATGTCAAAAATCTCAAATTATTACGCATTAAGTGCTGTGCCTACGTAATAAGAAAGATTGTTATACCCTATGTGCTCATAATCGAGTAGAAAAGCAGTCAGTATATAAAACAAAATCTTATTAAAAATGGTGGTATATAAATTAAACAACTTATTAAAAATCAAGTGTATTTTCAACTAGTGAATGTTCATTCAAAAATACATCTATATATGTATTACATTGAGTTGGAGCATCTTGTTGAACCCAATGACTGACATTTGGTATTTTTCTAATACGTAAATCTGCGCAGTATTTTGCTGTACCATCACATAATTCTTCGCCTAATGTTGCATCATTTAAACCCCAAATGAGTAACGTTGGAGCGCTAATATAAGAATGTGATAAGTCGAACTGATAACGAAACATTGCACGATAATAATTGATGGCTGATTTGGCAGTACCTTGAACAGAAAAATAAAACAAAAAACGAATGTCTCAGATACGTATCACTATTTGAAATAAAAAATTTAATGAACCTCTTTGAGCAAATGTGTATTTATAAACTTCAATATCATCATGATCCATATTGATTGTATTGACTAATCCCATTGGTTTCTTAAGAAAAGTACTTTCAAGTAATTCAAAATCATTTGACTGGAGAATTAATTCAGGAATAATTGGACATTGATGATAAAACATGTACCTATAATAAAACAACAAGACTTAAATACTTTTCTGGCTAATGCAATATTATGCGAAAACCCTATTTTATGAAGAATACGATATAAGATAAGAAATATATTTCTTTGAACTTAATACAAAGATCTTTGTTTACCTACCATGATCGTTTAAGTTGTGTCCATGATAAATCTGATCGGAATACTTGAGGATGTGGAGAATTCATAATAACTAATTTTTCAACTAAATGTGGATATCTGGAAATATATGAATGAAGATTAAATTAATTTCATTAGTGGATAATTTTTTTTGCCTACAGTAATGCTGTCATCCAGCAAATTGTACCACCTATTGAAAAAAATATTAGAATTAACAAGACTGATTGAACATATCACTAAAACTATTTTTTTACCCCAATCATGTCCCACTAATATGCACGTGTCATACCCTAAAATAGAATGCAAAAACGATAAGTAATTCGAGAGATTCACAAACTATTCCATATAAACCTAGTTGTTCAATAACATCTGCCACATCACCAGCCAATTCGTGGGCTGTGTAATCTGAAACATACAATGGTTTTGACGAAAGTCCATAGCCTCGTGTATCAATGGCAACAACGCTAAAAAAACAAAGACTAAAATACCGGCGAAATAAAGTTTCTTAGAAATAAATGAGTACCGGTATTTTTTAGAAAAATATTTTAATTGAAATCTCCACGAATACCAACATTCGGGAAAACCATGAACAAATAAAATCATCGGTTGATTTGGCAAACCTTTTGAAATATAATGAAGAGTAACGTCGGAAGACTAAACAAAAAGGTTTACGTTTTATTATCAACATTAAAGATGGTCATATACTTTTAATTTGATCATTGCATGTTGTCCATATTCAGAAGAGGTTGCTCTCTCAGGAGGCATTGGTCTTGCAATATAGTTGAAAAAATTATGTGCTCCAAGTTTTAAAAACCTTAGTACGGCATAAAACAAGCCGAACAATGATGTAAGAAAAGATAAACATGCCAAGCCAAATATCGAAAACGCCACTCGAGATGCTGGAAAAAATTCAGCTGCCGTCATTCTATTTAGTTTAGGATATTAAATGATCTAAAAACATAGAATTGTAAAGTAATGTTCATCAAATGTGCATGACAGGTACGTTATGTATACACGACTGTGTCCCATAAATGATGCACCTTTTCTTTCTATTTTTGAATCTGTTCGAGTATTACATGGTCGTTATTCCGAACAATTCTTCTTTAATCAGAATCTACGTCTTGCCAAAAAACAGACAAATATTTTTCGTATTTGTCTGTAAGATGATTGGAGTGTATTCCGGTACGTACTGAATCTTTGTTTGACACCGTTTGTGTCGCGAGATAGCTTGAGATCTTTGCTTGTTGCTATCCAGACTGCGTTCTTATACTTGAATAACACATTACATTTTACGGTTTAAAAATTTTTCTTCTTTCTTACTGTATCTAAATATTGTATGGACGAAAGGTAAACACACCTTTTGGTTTTTTGTTATATCAACTTATATAGATGATTACTATATGAGGTATAGATGTCAAATCATCGATGCAAAGCAAACTATTTCCTAGTAAAATAATTTGCTACTCGGTTGGTTGTAAAAAATTCACGCATCCCAAAAAAATCTGACCATTGTCTCGATAAACTCATAAAACGGTCTACCGATTGAGACCTATTCATGAAATACCTTTCGTCGTATTGAAAATGCATGCTCTAAAAAATGTAAAAACTTGTATAACAACAGCAATATTTAGATTGACCATCACTGGAAAGGGTTATCTATATACACCGAAAACGCAATTTTGTAAGAAACTTAATCAAATAGAAATTTTCGTCAAATATCGACTGGTAGGAAAATAATATTATAACCATGATCTACATAAAAATGATCTATGACAGTTGATTTTTTTGTAAAAAAGAATCATCTTCTGGAAGATATCAGTATGATAAAAAGTCGTATTACGGTGTTCTACTCAACTCTGATCTCAATTATCTCAGCGAAAAAATGGGCACCAGAGACCGAAACGGGTCAACCAAACGTGAGCCGAATCCGACTCAACCCGAACATAAGGTGACCCGAACTCGATCCGACCGAAATCAATATCTTATACGTTGGTCCGAACCCGACCCGAACGGATCCGAAAATTTTGCAATTGTGAATTCTTTTCTCCTAATCGTCTAAAATAGATTTTTTTAAAAAGGAAGTCAGACAAGATCGTGAAGAGTATCCCGGTATCCCTTTAATATAAGACTTTTAGATGGTTAGGAGAAAAGAATTTTTATCAAGTTTTGACATGAGTAACTAGCATTGAGTCATGTCCAGTTTTCAAGTACAAAACTAAAAAGATTCATTCGTGAAAAATAGGAGAAAAATGTCTTTTTCCACCCATGATACCCATTGTCCAGCCATTTTTACAAAATTAAAACTTTTTTAATGCAGAACTGAAGTACGATTTATTTTGGGACTGCCACATGCATGACCTATATTTAATAAGTACTGAAAAATATGCTAATTTAAAAATACGGAATTTTTTAGTTTTCTATTATTTAGTCCTAGATAGTTAAACATATTATTATGTCTAAATATATGATCTTATAGAGTAAACATCCCTCTTTCAAATGAGCAATGAACCAATCATAGGAGTTTGATCGTTTTTGAGAAAATTGGAAAATATGAACATTTGTGAAAATTCACGTTGTTTTGGTAACAAGAGTGGCCCTCAGTAAAGTGCTCTAGTTGTTTAGAAAAGCACTTCCAGAAAGAGTTATTATAAGATTAGTGGTAATTTTGTATGCTCTTTCCAATGAGACATAAATAAAAATAAAATAAAAGTTATCTCGGGACAGTCTTACTGGATCGGTTTTCTGGTCAGGGCTCTCTTAAGTGGAAAAATGGCTGTTCAAAAAAATTCGTTTTCTCATTAAACTAATGAGAATAATTAGTAATTGTTACATAGATAGATAGAGAAATCATACTTCTGTAACCACTGGGAATCTTCCAGTTTCACTCGTTAATTAATCTGAATTCTAGTTACTAAAGTAGATGAGAGAAAATTTGAAAATTTTTGTATTTTTTATTTATAAAACTATTGTAAAAATACATAATGCGAAAGACCATAGAACATGGCTAGAAAATCCAACATATCTTGCAGTTCACTTTCAGGATGGAGAATAGTCCTAGTGAAACTTCTTGTATCCAAGATCTGAGATTAAGAAACGTCACACGAGTTTGAATCTTCCACTTAAGATCAAGATGAAAAATTTTCTTTACATTTTGTTTTTCAATCAGCGATTTTGAATAGGAAAACAGCAAAATACAACAGAAGAAGAATGTTGAAACAGTTTATAAAATGAAATTTTAAAAATTATAGTTTAAATAGTAAGTGTTTGATTTAGAAACCCTTTTCATTTGTAAACTGTTTTTAACTTCATTAATAAAAAAAATAATGAGATTTTTCTGTCAAGACTGGACTGTAAGGGAATTATATTAAGTCAACCTATAATTCTAAATTTTATAAAATTCAGTTGACCTCTCGTTTCTCGTTTCAGGTAATTATTCATATGTGTATGAGGAAAGGACTCAAAAGACATAAGTTTGTAGACAGACTTTGATTTTCCATTAATTAGTGACTGTGAAATGATTGTAAACGAAAGATCTGTTGAGTGTAGATGACAAACAGGTAAATTATAAATCAAGAGAAACGCCACGTCACTCAAATGTGGGAAACGAATGCCGTAAACTAGCGACATTTCTTAATTTTTTCTTTCTATTTCGATGAACCAAACAGAAAATAGCAGTCCATATTTTCTTTTAGATATGTGGAGTCTTTATTTGTGGCTAAAAGCAGACAACGGATTTCTTGCAGCTACTGTTTGAAGCTATAAAAGGAAAAACGCTCTGTTTCTAATTTCTTAGATTAAGTACGGCAATAGTTTCAAAAACCTAAATTGAAGAGTTAGTTTTAGATTGCTCTCGACTCCAGTTTCTTGCGTGATGTCGCTGAATTTTTCCTCGCGTACTCTCGCCGTGTAGCTTTCCAGCGGAATTCCGCCTGCTTTTTCCTGGTTGCTTCTCGCCAGTTGTTTTCTTGCAAGATCTCGTCCCCTTTTTTCAGATAAGCGTACATTTCTCAAATAATACCGTAGAGAGACCAAACATAAATAAATAGACAGAAATTCAATCTAAACCAGGCCATAAAAGTTAACAGGAAAGATACATAAGCTTGGGTCTCATGAGTGCCCAGTTTATTCATTTGCTATGTAGTGGCGTTATAATGCACTTCAAATAAAAAATATATTAATGAGGTAGTTCTCTTCCCTGACGATCTTTATTTCTTTTTCGTGACGTTTTGACACCGAGGGTGTTTCTTCAGACAGTGAACACTAGAGTTGCTTGAAAAGTACTGTAAAACATGGAGAAAATCACTTAAATACTGAATGTTTACACTTAATTACTGAAATGATTTAGTAATTAGCAATTAAATCATCAGGGGGCCGTATCACAAAAAAACCAAGTCAAAATTTGGACTTAAGTTTCTGACTTAGGTTTTATCGTATCGCAAAAAAACTTAAGTCATGGGAAATGTAGTCTTAAAGTTAAGACCGAAAACATAAGTCGGACTTGAGTCATTGAGGCATTTTTTGAATAGATCAGGCATTTAACGATACGATTCGACGAAAACGACATTATAAGGATTAGGGAATAAATATTTCGTTATTTTGCGTGTTTTTATCCGAAGTTTGTCACTGTTGTCAACGACTTTTAAAGAGTAAACAAATCGCCAACTTGCCTTTGTCGTGATACGATTTAAGTCCCCGGGCTTAAGTTTTTTCGGGATACGACCCCCTGAGTACAAATTATTTCATTATCAAACTTCGTTCCAATATAAATAGCTATTTTACATCTTTTGTTTAAAACAAGCGCGGTGGTTCAATTAGATAAGTCTTCGTCTTGACATCTGAACGTTCCAGGATCAAACTCTGAAAAACAGAAAAACTTCCAGAAAACTGGCAGAATCTCGCAGTAGAATATTACAGGGTTAGAAATGGGCGAAAAATTACTTTTTATTTTCATAATTGAAATTTGACGCTATCCCGGAGGGAAATAATTGACGGGAGTTCAAAGTATTTTCGGTAGGGATTTGCTTGCGAAATCTCGCAACGAAGAACCGAGACTTTTTTGAACTCCCGCCAGTTTTTTCTTCCGGGATCTCCCACGTCTAATGGGATACAACCCCGCGGGATCTCGCCGAATTCTAAAACAAAATTTTCAGTGGGTGTACAAAAATATATCAGTTATTTAGTTACTAATATTGTAAGATCTATTTCAGAAATGCACGTACTGAAATTTGTGCTTGGAATTGAAATTGTACCAGGTAGATTATAGAACTTATATACAGCAATACACATCTTCCTAATCACATTTTCGTTTTTTACTTTTAATCTTTATAATAACAGTAAACAGAATCGATAGACCATTTGACAATGTATTCCTTTTGAAATTGCCAAATATCTGCATTTGCATTCGGTAATAGCCTGATACGTAGGGTCGTCCCGATGACGCAAGATCCATTTCATCACTTTTTATAGAATAGTAATAATTAGGCAGAAAGGGACACTCAAGTATAAGAACATCGGATTCATGTTTCCTTTAGCTGTCAAAGTGTATATAGGGTGACAGAATTCTCTCTTGCTTTATCTCATACAAAGAAAAATGTTATTGCAAGCGATGAATAATAAACTCGTGTCACTTTTTACGAGCGCTTGTCCAAATGGAGAGGTTTTCGCTAGTACGCTTGACCGTTTTAATGCTTGCTTTTATATTAATACATCTGTGACTACAAACGGTCTAAGATTCTCTTTTGATTTTTAGATGTTTTTGATTAAAAATAAATATTATTTTTTCTAATTATACAAATTTAGATGACAATATGAGATTTTTATTGACCAACCTAACTTTCAATGACAGTGAATTGTATTAAACTACTATTAATCCGAGAATACACTGTTTTATTGGCGACCAAACGTTCATTATCAACAGATATATTCGATTTAGTACGTGGCATGGCATCATCATCATCAAAAAAAAAGAACACCTCACACACGGATCAAATAATAAAATCAAAAAAGATTATCAAAGACCAGGGACAACAGTTAGGAATAAGTTCACGTATAAATTTACAAGTTGTAGCCAATGGATATGCCGGAACAAAAAAATCTGTTCTTCTAAGTACAGATCAAACAAATTATTTATTTAATTGTGGTGAATCAACACAACGTATATTAACAGAGAAAAATGGTTGGGATATGAAATTTTCGAAAATAAGTCAATTATTTGTCACACGAAAATCATGGGATACACTGGGTGGTATTGTAGGATTATGTATCAGTTTAAAAGAATCAAAATCAACCGATATTACATTTCATGCACCATGTGATATGCTTGATCTTTTGAAACATTGGAAAGGTTTAGATGGTTTTCCAAATATGACAATTGGTAAAGATATTGTTATACTGTTATATATTTCTACTAAAAATCATTCCTTCTTTATTTTTAAAGATCAACATGATTATCAAAAGGCTGATTTTATTGATTCTAATTTTAAAATTCGTGCAATTCCATTAAGATCAACAAATTTTTTTACACATCAGGGTACGCCGTGTTAGAAACATTTTCAAAGTTATATTTGAATAATAGTTTTACTCAATTTAGAAAATAAGCGACAACGTTTAACATCTGACAATGATCTTGCTGACTTTCAGTTGTATCCTCACGATTTAGTTTATGCTTATCTGTGTGAAGTAAGAATATTATATTTATATTTTCAAGTTTATCTTATATCTTAATCTTGTATTTTAGACTCAACCATATCCGTCAACTCTATCGCCAGAACTTTGTGCCTTTCACGGTGTTCCATTGTAAGTATACACCTATATCTTGTCATCTGAATCATGTCTACTACTTATATTATATACTTATTTATAGTAATCATTTACGTACACAATTAAAGAATGGAGAAGATGTGACTCTAGAAAATGGTCGTATAGTAAGTGGTGAGCTTTTTATAAAAAAGTGTGATCTCACAACATTAACGGATAGTTATTTCCAAGGCTCCACACGGGTCACCTTTTTGTCAGCCAACCCCGTCTCCAACGGGTCTAACTAAATTCTTGCTGTCTTTCAACTTGTATCCACTCGGTCCAGTCCGACTTAACTCGTCAAATATTTTCTACATACTCGAGAAATTCAAACAAAATGTAAGGAGAGGTATATGTTGACACGACACGTAAATATTCACTGATAAATTATCGTCGACTAGTAATTATTAATATACTAGTTATAAACAAAACAAACATGAAAAATTCTGTTTTATATTCAAGAATGTTTTGTATTGAACGAACAAAGAGTACCGGAACTACTCGACTCACCCTGATTTTTCTCAGGCCCATTCCACCTAGTGCGGAGATGTGATTATCACTCTACTGAGTTCTTTCCGAAAGGATTGGCATAGTACTTTTAAAACATCGTTCAACCTTTGCTTTTCACGTAGTCTGAGTGCTAATGAGAAAAATCTGATCGTAACAATTTTCTAAATGTTCACTATATCTCTTTTTCTTGTATATTTCAACTAGATTCGATCTGTCGATGTTGTATTACCTGTTGAGCCTCCGGTAAAAGTTTTAGGTAAGTAAATTTGTCAATCTCCTGTATTACCAGATCAAGAAACCGAGATTTTGTTTTAGTTTTGGATTGTCCGTCATTGTGTTATATGGATGCCATTGAAAAAAGTGAAATAAACAATCATAAATATCATGCCATTATTCATATGACTTCACATGATCTATTGACAAATGCAGCATATCGTTCTGAGATGAAAAAGTAAGTTTTTCGATAGCATAAACAGAATATTTATCCTCGATATTTTTTTCATTTTTTAAGAATGAACACAACGCATCATATTTTCCTAGATGAAAATCAAAAAAATGTTCATAGTGATGCTCTCTATCGTTATCAGTCACAATTGAATTATATAGATGATGGTTTATTTCCTCTACTAAGTTATCAAACAATATTGAAAGAGGTAATGCGATTGATTGAAATCAAATTATATTATGACATCGTGCTTTTTATAGGGTATTGCATTGCCAGCACCAATTGATAACATAAGTCAAGGTATAACAAGTACCAGAATCTCATTACGTCCCGTTTTAGGCCCAGATAATTCAAAACAATATTTAGTACAGCCAGAAGTAAACATTGAAGCAATGTTGGAAAATGAACAATTTAAAGAAACATTTGAAGCTGTTAAACAACAAATAACAGCCATGCATGAAATAGCAAAAACTGGTCATAGTATACCAGAAATTGTCTTTTTGGGTACAGGATCAGCATGTCCTAGTAAACCAAGAAATATTAGTGGAATACTTATTCATATTAAGTAAGAATATCGACGGTAGGGTTGAGTTACGTTACGGAATCAGTTAGCTTATTTACGGTTTTACTGATGAAAGCGAAGATATTTTGTATGTGAGAATACGATACATACTGGCTAAACGAGCTACCCTCCGTTTTCAGAATAAAACTGGTATTTTGTTGGATTCAATTAAATTAAAATTTACTTTATTTTAGTTCCACATGCTCTATGATATTAGATTGTGGCGAAGGTACAATAGGTCAAATACATCGTTTTTATGGTGAACAAACGAATGAAATATTATCACAAATAAAATTAATATTTATTTCACATATGCACAGTGATCATCTCGGCGGTTTATACGGACTAATCCGTGCCCGTCGTCAAGCATTCGAACATCTACAACTGCCCTATGAAAACGTTTTATTACTATGCCCAAATAAATTGTCCGAAGTTGGTCGACGACAATGGTCATTTTTTAATGAACATGAATTCCAAGATGATGTAACACTTGTTTATAATCGTTCTCTAACGAATGGGACATTAGCATTAAATGACTCAGAAAAATTAACAGATAACGATAAAGAGATGGAGAAATATCTGTTGAAAACATTAGAACATATTGGAATGAAATTAATACAAACTGTACTAGTCGAACATATTTATGACGCTCATGCCGTGGTTTTGAAACATATTGATGGATGGTCTTTAGCATTTAGTGGTGATTGTCGACCATCGTTAGATTTTATTAAAGCGGGTAAAATTGATTGTTAACATCGTGTATTTATGATTGTCAATGTCTAAATTTTAGGTCAAAATTGTGATGTTCTCATTCATGAAGCAACATATGAAGATGGTTTGGAAATATATGCATCTCAAATGCGTCATTGTACAATGTCACAAGCTGTCGATGTTGGAAAACAAATGAATGCTAAATTTATTATATTATGGCATTTCAGTCAACGTTATGCAAAAGTACCATATATGAAACGCACACCTGATCTAAAATTAGAGAATGTTTGCTTGTCATTTGATAATATGAGAATAAAATTGTCCGATTTACCACGTGCATGCAAATTGACCGGAACATTTGAAAGTTTATTCATTAAAGAACAAGTGCTATATGAACGACGCAGTCAACGACGTGAAAGAGATCCAGAAGTATTAATGAACAATGAGCGAATAAATTCACAAAATAAACGACGAGATCAACGATATGTAAGTATAATATGTAGCTAACTAAGATTATGAAGTTATTTCAACTGTTATATGCATTCTAGGCAGTTCCAACTCAACAATCCACGGATGTTGTTCAAGAAAAACCACGTGAACAAGAATCTGTCAACGAACCCCATGAAAGTGAATCAGTAAAACAGCGGATCGTTGTTTCATCTACCACATGATTTTCTTTTTGCTCGTCCTTTTATGTTTTTTGCTAATTTTGTGTGACCTACGGTGTTTTTCTACGGTTTTTGTTCCATGATGTAATCATGCCTGTTTTATTCATTTTTGGAATAAAAGATTCTATTACTTTGTATATCACTCTATCAACTAAAGTCTATTTGTGAATGAGGCATTTTTTGATATAATGTTTGCCATACTGTAAGATAACTAATTCGATGCAAAGCAATACCGCATTATAGTAATCAACTGCGTCGCACGTCTTTCCTTTCTAGATCGAAAAAGTATCATTTTCTGTAACGATTTCTCGGGGGTTCAGTTGCACCTAAATTCTCTTTATGCAACATAAAAAAGATATAAAGAATGGAAAAGATATTTTTTTAATAACAAAATATGCTGAGACCCCACTTCAAAGCATACAAACAGGAGCGAAAGCATACTTTTGTCTTTGTTCGTTCTCTGTAATATGTTGATGTAATTGGCCTATGTCTTTCATAAACATCTGTGTTAGAACTAATGCATTATTGACTAATAAATTGTTATTATAATCTTGTAATGAAATTGATGGTAATGACTTTATTACTGGCATTATTGATGCTGGCTGCGGTTGGGATACCTGTCCTGAATTGTTTGAAAGTTCTTCTGGTATTGTCTGAAAATAAAAGAAGAAAGAGTGTAACTGCAATACTTTGTGTCGTTTCCTTATTCTGGAATATTTTTTTCAATACTTATCCACGGCGTGAGTATGCAGAAAAAACCCTGAGTAAAAGAACTTCTAGAGATTGTCATCTAATGTTTTTTCTAATAAAATATACATTTAATTAAATCTACATTACTGAAGGTGTGATGAAGAACTGATAAAAAACCTCATAACGACTCCATGTCCATAACAAAAAACCAAAATTTTGGCTTCGCTAAACAAAATTATTAAAGATCATTTGAGCAATGGACGAAAACCTGCAACGTATCGCTCCCAAAATAAGCGCCTTCTCAAAAAACATTAGAAATTTTTAAGAAACTGTTTTCCTGTTTGTGATACATAATTCGAAAAAAAACTGATTTTGCTTTTACTCAATAAAAGTTTATACTTTTAATTTACTTGTACAATTATTTCAATGAGATATTTTTGTACTTGTGAAACTGTCGTTGATGGTGGTGTTCGACCTTTAAAAAATAAGAAGAAACTTTCACATGTTTGTTTCGTCAAGTAGCTGTATGTAATTTTCAAACTTTCTAATAGAATTATTGCACGAAACAAGAAATGTGTAGTAATCATCTCTGTCTCGATAGATTTTTCCTTCCTTGTTCTAAAGACAACAGCAAAAAAATTCCTCAATCAATCAATGGCATTAAAAATCCCTCTATTTATTCTTACTTCGGTGTCTACGTGCAGTTGCACGATCTTGTTTTAATGATGATGAATAATCCAATTTTACCGACACACGTGGTATTCGACCTTTAAAAATTAAGAAGAAAGAAAATAATACTTTAATTAGTAAAACTTCATCAATTTGACGCGACAGTCAAAAATTTAACTAAATTAAATCGGCTCTAGAATCTGTTTATTAGTCATCTTAAATCATATATCTAAATTTCATTTTCACACTTTAGTTTCGCCAAGCAGTTGCACTTTGAAACTTTCTAAATAGAATTAGTGCATGAAAACGGAAATGTTTAGTGATCATCTCTATTCCAATAGCTTTTTGCTTTCTTCTTCTGAAGTTAACAGAAGAAAAAACGTCAGCAATTAATCAACGACATTAAAAATTCTTCTGTTTTTTCTTATTTCTGTATACACGTGCATGATATAATTATGGTTCATGTTAAACACTTCATGAAACATTGAAAAAAATATTCGTTTCTTTTCATCTTCATTTATTGAAGTGCTTTTAATAATTGCTTCATCATTGTGTTCGTGGACTGTTTTTGATAATCGTGCGTACGGATGTTTACCAAGTACAAATTTTAATAATTTTAGTTCTGTATCATCTTTAATTAATTTGCTATTTTGAAGTTTTGAAAGAAATTCATTTATAAATGGTACTATCGTGCCATATTCATCGTAGCTTTCATTTTGATGATGACTACCAGGTATTTGTTCACGATACTTTTTTTTTTTTTTTAAAACTCGTATTTGAATGTTATATGATATTTTGACTAGAGGTCTGCGGGACCAAACCTTTTTGGTCCCGGTCCAGGTCTCGTCGTCCCATAAATATTTTTTCAAAATAACGCTGGTAGTTTGAGAGTCAGTGCGTTGTAATCCGGGGCGTCGGACAGGATGTGTGGGTGGTATTAATTAAGAACTTTTAGAATTTTGTGCGAGTTTTTCTCGCAGAACTAATGCCTACATACAAACAAGCATCGAAACTAAGAAATGCTTCAATATGCAGCATCATGTACTGTTGCTGGTGCAATTAAGGGAACGAAGGGAGAAAACATCCTAACACTTCTGGGATGGAATAGTGTTAATGATCTATATTACATTCATCGACTTTTGCAGTTCTATAAGATCTGGAAACTTGGCTTCAACAGCAAATTAAGAGATTTTATCGCAGAAAAACGATCAGGACTGAGAAGTGACGGACAGTTGATGCTAACGCCGAGTATTGTTAACCTCGTAATAGCAAAGCGAACATATCTACCGGTGTGTGTTGAAGAATGGAATAATAAGAGCATGAAACACTTACGAATAATTAATACCTTTAAAAAATTTAAGCAGGAGTTGTTTCAAAAATATGCTCTTACGTATTTTAAAAGGCCCACCACTCCGAGAAGAGTAGAAAATTTTTTTGTCCAGTTTGCTACTCGTTTTCCGCCTATCAGTGCAGCACTATTTAAAAGGAATCGTGTTCCTAGTGATTTGTGCGCCTGTGGGAAGAAAGAGTCCGCTGGACACTTTCGTCTGGATTACAAGAACTACCATGCAAGAACTACTATGTACTCAGACAAAAAATGTTGTATGACCTGCAGTCTATCCCCCCGAAAAAAAATAGTTTCACTCTGTATTTCTCATTTATTGTCACTATAAAAACACATTTATTTAAAACAAACTACATATTCTGAAAGCCCGTGGAGTTCTCTATTACCCTGTATATTGACTCATTTTCTTGCATTCGTTTATTGAAAAATAATTTGAACACAATGAAGACACCTTCATGTCCAGATTCCCACAGACTTGATTTTTTCTTTGTCGTCAAAAATAGTTTTTAAAATTTTTCGTTACTATAGAATGATCTTTTTGAAAAGACAATTATAGAGTCTGATAGAGCTTGAAATTCTCTATCATCCTGTCTATTTACTTCCTTTCTTGCATTCATTTATTGAAAAATAATTTGAGTACAATGAAAACTTCCTTAATCGACAAGCACTAAAAATCTACATTTTTTTCTCTGTTTTTTTAATTATTACGCTCAAAGAAATAAATTATATAAAAGAAATTATTCCATTGTTAGTGCAACGACGTCATCCTAATTCTCAACAACGTCTTGAACAATTAGTTATTGATGCTTGGAATCAAATTCCACAATCTGTAATACGTGGTTATATTGACCATATTCAAGATGTTTGTTATCAAGTAATAGCGACTCAAGGCTGGGAAAGTTTGGGATGAGTAGAACTTTGAATAATCATTAGGATATTGTTTCTTTTTTTGCATGAAAATTTGTTATCGTGCTTGTTGATATTGAATAATTATACGTAGAATGATAGAGAATTTCATGTACTAACAATGGAATAATTTCTTTTATATAATTTATTTCTTTGAGGGTAATAATTAAAAAAACAGCGAAAAAAATGTAGATTTTTAGTGCTTGTCGATTAAGGAAGTTTTCATTGTACTCAAATTATTTTTCAATAAATAAAACACACACTAACCAATAATGTTTTGATTCGATCTGTTTCTTCATGTCGTTTGGATTTACGCCGTTGGAGTGCTCGATTCAAAGGGAACTCCCAGCGGCCGTATTTCGAAGGTCATGAACGTTCAGACGTTATCGAACATCGTCAACAATTCATCGACTATTTTCTGGATCGGAAAGATTATTATTATCGAGTTTCTAATGATGATAAACCTGTTTGGACACTGCCAACTCAAAATCCGCCATGTATTTTACTCTGTAAGTATTTTTTACGTAATTGATGATGAAAGTCACAGCTTATTATCTATCTAATTTTAGTCCATGACGAAAGTACTTTTCATTCGGGCGAGGTGTCCGCAAAACAATGGTTTTTTTGGAAAAGAAGCTCCATTTCATTCAAAAGGAAAAGGTCAATCGAACATGATCAGTGACTTCTTGGTACAACACCCATCAGGGCCATTCTTCAGTCTTTCTAAAAGTGAATTTGAAAAAGCTCTAGTTAAATATCCTCAAGTGAGTAATTCGTCTAATGTGCTTGTGCCAATACATATTATATTACATCATACATAACAACTTATGGACTAGCACATGGTCTAACTGCTAGGACATAACAGTCTGTTGGATTGGGCATCGATTTTAACTTCTATGAATATACTTTGACTATATTGGGGAAGAACAGAAAAAAATAACTAAAAATCACCTGGCCCATTTGGAGATGTCCTCAGTAAAATCGATTTTTCTCAGCGAGGAAAAGGAATTTTTGAAAAAGCTCTTCGTACCTTTGGAGTTACACATCTGACGAATCTAACCATGTAAAAATATTGGGTCTAGGATCTCTAGAAAAACCTGTGATAGACTTGCAAAATTAAGTTTCGGTTTTTGAGCATGGATCTTGGATAATTATTTTGTGAGCCGATGGTTTGTTCTAAGAATGGTTTAAAACCAGTTTCTTATTCAGTTTTCTATGATCTATCAGAAAAACTAAGTTAGAAAATTCCATCTCGTAACATATTTAAAAAAAAGAGGAATCTAAGAAAAGTTGCCAAATTGGCTGTTATCGACACCTTCCGAGTTTTTTCAAATTTTCAACCGGAAAAAAGGGTTGAGAAAACTCAGGCACACATATTCTTGACCGCCTTGAAATTCTCTATCGAATGGTGTATGGTATGTAAAAAAATAATTTTTTTACTGCATTTTTGCTGTGCGTGCATCTTACAAACAAATATCATTTTCAATATCTTTTTAGAATTGAATGTCTCACCGTTAAACACAAATCGGATGTAAAAAAATATTTATTTTAAAATGCACTATATTGAGAATAAAGTTTATCTAACTTATGTCTCCTGCTGGAGATACGTTCGTATTTCATTTAAAAATCGTTTCGGCCGACATTTGAACGTATCAAAGTCAAATGCATGTAAAAATGCACTATTTTTCAACATTAATTGAACAACCTTTTCAATTATCCATATATCAAATAAACAATGTTCCCTGTTTCCGATGAGTTCCTCTCGCTTTTGAGTACTTAATGTTTCTATTCGTCTTTTTCCAATTTTGTACAATAATTCATAAAACGTTCCAAAATTCATCCCTTCATTACTTAGGAGTATTAACTGGCAATGTTCATACCAGTTGTCTAACGTTGAACGACAGTCAGCTATTTTTATCTCAATTTGATCCACTATTCGTGATAAATGGGTCCATATTCTTAAAATATTAAATCCATTGTACCAGTTGTGATTAATTGAAATTGTATTGCCAATATTATCCACTTCATGATACCATTCAGAGGGTACAAAAATGATTTCACCTGCTTCTTGATAAATTTCGATCACATTTAATCGGTCTAATTCAGGATAAATATCTATACCACGAGCTTTTGCTTCATCAATCGAATTGGTCATGATTTTTCGACGATCAACAAGACACATTTCATTACCAGGTCGGAGAAATCGCCAGCGTTTTTTACCACATATATTTGCTGACCAAGAATATGACCCAAGAACATCCATGTGTAACTTTGTTGATGTTGTATTAGGACCCATATAAACAAAACGAAAATCATCTTTGCTATCCACTAAACATGTTTCATTTAACCAATCTGATCGAAAATATACTGGCCATTCATAAAATAACGGTTTATTCATTTTTTCTATTTCATTTATTAGATGCCAATCCTTACAATAGAGTACAGTATTTTGATTATTTTTCCTCCAATACTCAACGTAGTCACTAAACACCATTGTCGATTTTCTTTCTTCACCGTATTCAGCATCACTGGAACAATGCGTTACTGGAACATCCAATTGGCCATAGTTTTCAACTAGTTTATCAAAATTTGGTTCAGTTTTCGATTCATTTAACCATTCTGTCATACAGGACCATTTGTCCATTAAATGGCATGTTTTCTTAAATAGAGCTGGTCGGTTTCCTATCAAGCATTCTTCAACAAACTGTTCGTACGTTGGACATTCATCATATTGTATGATATCAACAGCAATGTTTTCCGGTATCGTTGTCCAGTCTTTATAAAATAACTGTTCTAAAAATGGTTGTGATAAATTCATCTTATTGTTTCTTCTGTGCTTGCATCTATAACAGTTCTATTACTTTTACAGATTTTGTAGATGTATATATAGAATTGCACGGTTTTGCTAAACTACTGGAATTATTACATCACGGTTTTTTTTAAACAGCATTTGAAAAAAAGAAGATCAACAGATCTAGGTATCGCTATTCGATAGCCAATACAGGGACACGTTAACGTACAGAAAAATTTTAAAACTCTTTACGAGAGTTGATTTTGAGGAGATCTGTGAATAATTCAAAGAATTCTCTTTGCCTTTGGAACTAAGCGACTTTCTTAATTCTTTGTTAGTCGAGACATAATATCCGATCTTCTGAGAGCCGCAGCACTGATATTTCTTTAAATGTGGTAATCGCGAAAATGGATGAAAATATAGATTACCTCTATCTCATGACAATGGTTTTAGATGGATAGAAAACTATTACTAATAAAGCTGAAACAGAACATGGATGATGGTTTTAGCAGTTTCTGATAGGAGAAAATATATAAAATGCTGAAAAAAGAATTTTCAAAGAATAAAAAGCAAATGTCATTGTTTTGTGATTAAATTTATTGAAAACGAGAAGAACACATATGAATGTTTATTTCCAATGGTGACGATGTCCGTACGGTCATTTTTCGTTCAAGAAACAGTAACATAGTTTCAGTGGTGTCCGTAATAGTTTTCTATCCATCTAAAATCATTGCCATGAGATATAGCTGGTCGGTAATCTGTATTTTCATTCATTTTCGCTGAAGAAAGAAACTGATTCACTCCATTGGTTTATTGTATCTGATATATTATTCAATATTTATACAAAAGAAAAAGACATAAATGCGTAGCAGTAAAAAACACACTCAAGTACAAAAAAAATCAAGTAAAGTATTTTAAAGAGAGCTTTTCAAAAATACATGATTATAAAAGTTGTTGTCAGTTTATATATTGCACATGTTCATCCTTCCGAATCCCAATGGGCTGAATCTTCTTCATTCTCTGAGTCAGATTGAGGACGAATTTTATCTCGACGAAATTTTGCAGCCATTTCCATTATGGATTGTACATCGAGACCAGATGTTTCTTTTTTCTTTTCTTCTTCTTTACGTTTACGAACTTCTGTTTTACGTAAATGAATACCTAAAAGAGTTCAACATGGATAAAAGTTTATGAAAACCAAACCAAAGTATTTGTTAAAAGCGAGTAATAGTAAGCATGACATAATTTGTTTGCATTTGTTGCTCACCCCAAAACACGATTAGTGTAAATTTTAATTAAAAGCAAGAAAAACATCATCTTTGAGTGTTCAAGTATTCCGTTTAGTTACTTGCAATTTTTAAACTATTGTTCCTACAAAAAATATGAATAGGTCAATTTATTTTAAATTTGAATCATCTCAAAGACCAACTGCAGAGCTTATCGTGCTATCGTTACTACTGTTGCATCTTTGTATAGCAAAAGAATGTTCAAACTATATGAAAAGAAATGTGATATCAGGGCAAAAACTAGATACATACATATTTGAATTTACAGTTATTTCTGTTTATAACATAAATCAATACAAAATCTAAAGTTCTAGCATTGACGTGATTGGACCAATTTTTCTGATTCTTCTGCACTTAGCTTGAATATGTATACATACCTCTATTCTGTCAAATAGATGAAGTTGTGCCTATATTTGTTTTATAGAGAAATAAGAGATTGCGGTATGTTTTTAAACTTTTATGTATATTCCTTAGGATATCAAGCACTAACTATCTTTTTTTTCTGGTTTCTAAACAATTTCGTTTAGTGAATTGAACGGAAAGCGATGGATTATTGATTTTTTACACTATTCTCATTAACATTTCGAAGGAAGAGAATACATATCAGTGTTGAAAAAGTCGAGTGAATAAAGAAGTTACCGTTTTTAATTGCTTCTAATAAATCAGAATGTAAATCTCTCATGACAACCGGTCGTGGATCTTGAATGCCCATCGAACTTTCAGACGCAATTGAAATTTCATCAAACTGTGTTGCTAATGTTTGAACATTGTCCGAGGTTTGCTGTTGCAGTTGATTTGTATTCGGGCTGGTATGTGTTGATACGTTCATTACTAAACCATGGAGAACAGATGGGAAGGGAGGAGCAGGTGGTACCGATGGCGATGGTGTCTTAGAAGGCTTTGTTGTAGCATGCTGCTCTTCCATCTAGAAGAAAAAAGCTAATGCAGTTATATACACGAGATATCATTTGAGAAGCAATAGTTTTTACTTGTGATCGCTTTTTATCAAACGTTTGTGTATCATCTTGTTGATAATGATGATGATGATGAATAAAATCGTCGGGTGGAGGTGGAAGATTGTCGATTTCCGATATAGTAGCTAACATCGGTGAGTCTGCTTGCTGTATTGGAGGCGGAGCTAAAACGATTAAATAGCGTGTGAATTTGTAATAGAAAGTAACAATTATACTTACGCGGAGGTGGGGGTGGAGGACTGCAGCTTGGACGGCTAACTAAAGATGGTCGCGAAAATGGCATGTTCGTTGTTTGTTTATGTATTGCCTGTTGTTGCGGGGTGGATGTTGCTGCTCGCATAACTGGAGGTTGTTGCACAGATGAATGCAATAAACGAGGTGACTGATGATCAAATTGCGGCGATTGTTGATGAACTAGAGACTGCATGCCAGGTGATTTCGTAGTATAATAAGGGTTATTATTACCATTGCCATTTGTCATCATTGCGACTGATTGTTGTTGCTGAGGATCACGATAGAGACCGTTCAGTTTTGGACTGCGCATATCATCATAAAGTTCGTTTGGACTTGATTGATTGCTATATTTCATCATTGATAACATACGGTTATTTATGGGGGTAACGGACGAAGAAGACGGGGAAGACGAATAAATAGATTGTTGTTGACATTGTGCTCTAACTGTTGCACGTGCTATTTGCTCAAAATCTCTATTGGACTGCATATATAAACCTAATTCATGAGGACTACGATACGAGGATCGTTCGTCTTGCGAACGGAGACGAGTCGGAGAACTAATGTATACTGTATCATTCAACGGAGGTGGTTTATTAATGACCTTCTAGAAAAGATTAAGGAATAATCACAGATAACAAGAAAAGTAATCAACATACTGGAGATCGAATGCGTTCTTGTTTTTGCGTGCGAGTATTTGGCGGAAATTGCATCATAGATTGCATCCATAAATTGAAGAAAAACGATGGATCCGTATAAAATTTCATACAATCACGTCCATCATCTCTGAAAAAGTAGAAAAAAAACGTAATCAAAGCACTTGCTAACTATCGATAAAGAGACATAAACATGAAGAAGTTCTGTTACTGTCAAAAAGATTTTCTAAAAGTATATCAGTTAAAAATCTTTTCACCACTATAAAAAATCTGTCGCTGTCCTAATGATCGTATGTGGAACACATGCTTCGCTTGCGCAATGAAGCATGTGTTTGTCTTTTTTCCAGAAATAAATTTACTTGTAAATCCTTAAAAAGTAAAATTGCATGTACTTTTCACAAAATACTTCGTCAAAATAAAACCGAGTGTTGCACTGTTAGAAAAGTACTTGTAAAAGTTCATGGCAAGAGAGTAGTTTTGCAAATACTTGCCAATTTTTCAAGTACTTACTAAGTAATCAAGTACACTCACTAGGATGTTTTTTGATGATCACTTTTTATCAGAAGTAAATTAAGCTACCTGTAAGGATTAAGTAGATGTAATGCTGGAGCTGGTTCAGCTTTGTCATATAACATTCCTACTGATTTCGGCATTGTTGATCGGTTTACAATTTGCTGATCAATTTTCGTTACACTAACGAACGGTTTTCGATTATTCACATCTTGAATTGTGACTAAACAAAGGAAACAAATAAATTCACCATCACAGTAACGATAATTACCAACAAATTACCTTCTTCAACATTCGAATCAAGTTGTGTAGCTTTTATTTTAAGTCTTTCTATTCTTCCATGTAACGCTTCCGTTCGTTGGAAGATATGAATAGCGTCTGCTGTTAATTCATCAAACATATCTTGCGCCAATGAACTTAATGAACTCAATTGCCGAATAATATTGGCTAATGTTAAATTTGCCACACATTCTAATTCGTTTTGTACGCCTTTAGGCAATTGTGCCTGACATAAATTAATCGGTTCAATCGTACGTTTATTAAAAGGCATTATGACTGAAAGATAAAAGCAGAGAGAAAACATAAATAAATAAGTGGCTATCAAATCGGCTTTTAGTATTATATTTTGCATACCATATATATTTTTATTGAGTCGTATCGACGTTGATATAGAAAAACGTTTGAATTTCCTACATTACTATTATAGCATATTGAAGTCAGTTTTATCTTGAAGTAAATAGGGTCAAATTTAAATTCTTAACAGCTCGCTTCGCTATAGAATTTTTAATCACAGAGTAACATATACAAGATGAATACGGTATCTTTGAGACCAGAACAAAACTGAGCGTTTTTATTCGCAATACGTTTGATGCTGTTCAGAGTTCCAAAACTTTTTCTGTATTCTTCCTTCCTTTATCTGGTCGAAACAGTAAAGTTGAAGCTCTTTTCTTGTTGAGACAAAGTGAGACCAAATTTGATTAGAAGAAATTTGACAACAAACTACAAAATTCAACTGTTCCGCAGCGAGCAATGATTCATTACCACTCAAGAACCACCAATCACGGAACACTTCAGACCTCTATGATGAATAAATCTGAGGATAACATGTAACAAGAGAAGCATGCCAACGACAATAAAGCCGACAAACTGAAGCGCAAATATAACGTATATCACTGTGCTATTTACTACAAAACTTTTTCGTTTGATTATCTAAATTCTATTTGGCAAGATAGACCAACGAAAATCAATCCTTGCACAGCTGGAAAAGGGATGGAGAGAAAGAATGCTGCTGACCTCTTCGCATGTCATATGGATCATAAATAATTCTCTCTTACTCGTAAATCTTTAATAAGATTGGACTATGTCAGTGGAACGTGAGTGGAACGACCGACGAAAACATGTTAAGTTTTGTTCTAGTTTTTCCCCCAAAACATTAGAGTGAAACGTATGTAAATTATATGTAGGAACTTTCAGTTTTTCTGGATGTTTTTTCGGTAAATAATTCTTAGAATGAATTTATTGTAGCATCCCATAGAATAGAATACTTCTATATGTCCCAACGTCCTTGACGTTAATCCTCTACAAAAAAATGAACTTCGGATCTATATTTTCATTATCATGCCACCAGACAAAAATATAATTGGTTTTGGATTGCTGAAAAGTGCTGTTTCGTATTTAACACGCTCGATAACCCAGAAGATTTTCTATTTTTTGCCAGGGATATTTCCTAAAACGTTTCAAACTAATATGATTTTCCAATGAGAATTTTTTGCTCCATTTTGTTTCAAAAAATTTTCCTAAACTTTTGAAAGTATCTGCGCCAAAAATAGAAAATCTTCTAGTTATTGAGTGTGCTGCATACAAAAAAGCAGTTTTCAACAAATCAAAATCAACTTTATTTTTTTGCTCCAGTGATATGCTCTGATATTCGAGGTAAATGTTTTTGTAAACTGGATGTCTGGAGAGAGTACTCATTTAGGATATTATTGTTTCTCCAGAGTTTATTATATTCTCTGTTTCTTTTTAGACCATGAAAGACTGTTATGCAAAGATTAGCTGATTATTTCGTTGTCGTTGGCTATGACCACGATGAAGAACGTAGCGGTCGCAGTTTTGGAAAGATAATTCAACGTTTTCCAGAAAAAGACTGGCCAGACTGTCCGTTCAATCGCAATGTTGTTCATTTTTGTCAACCGCAAGGATGGATGTTATCACCAAAATGTGAATTGCCAACATTCTTCATATCGATATTGACTGATCTTGATGGACAAAGACATTATTGTGCGTGTTTGACATTTCATGAAACATTACTGCCAACAACAACACCAACGTCGCCGTCAACTAAACCAACAACTTTATCTGACTTTACCCTTGTTGGTGCAGGTGACGAAGCTGATGATACGGCATTTGTCATTCCTCGCACACAAATGTTTGCCCCAAAATGTCTTGTACTCACATCAAAATTCGATTGTTTTGAGATATTTCGGGTATGTTATTCTTGATGATTTGTTAGTTCTTTTTTGTTCAGTCTTCTGTGTCATTTTTTAGAATTGTCTTGGTCTTCTCTACACTGTGTATATTGAACCATTGTCAGATATTAAAATAGAGAATCTTGTTGGAAATATTCTAGGATCTATTAGTGTTCCTCCAGCCGGTAAGTATTTTATATTTCAATTTCTTGAATAAACTGTAAGTTTGCTAAATTTTATTTAGGTGGACAAGCATTACGTTTTTCAGTTGGTGCTGATGATCGACAAGTATTGCAACCACCCTTAAGTTCGACGGTTCCATGCACTGGCTTGTCTGTATATAATTTATTTAAAGAATTAGGTAAGTTTTCTTGAATTGTCTAAAATATGATGTAAAATTTTTTTTCTTCTAGGAATCGATCATGTGGTAACGATATTCTGTGCAGTACTGTCAGATATCAAAATACTCTTTTTTTCTAAAAGTTATTCAAAATTAACTGATTCTTGCAAAGCAGTTGAAGCATTATTATTTCCATTGAAATATTGGTCAGAAAACGAAAAATTTTTCATTTAAGAAACAATATCTAATTTTGTTTTTAATTATAGTTACACATTTATTCCTGTATTACCGTTTGATTTACTTGAGATACTTGATGCTCCTACACCATATATTGTCGGTGTACATTCGGATCAAAAACTTCAAGCACTTTCTAATGTATACACAACGAATAAAAAATAGAAACTTGCCCTTTTAATGCCTGTATTATGATATTTTTATAGTTTGATGGGATGTGGATTGATTTGGACGGGTCTAGTGTTCATCTTACAGATGGTGTTAAATTAGCTCCAATGCCTGACAAAATGTACTGCCGTGTGTTAACGTCTTTGTTTCAAGTGAGTTTTTGATGAATATTGTGGTTATAAAACATTCTGTTGTTGTGTACTAATTTAGGTTTTGAAACCGGATATTCATATGGCTGATCTCGCCTTTCCAACATGCCGAACAAACGTTAAACAAGACGGGCAAATAGCCGATTATCCAAAATATAAAGATGATATTAACAAAGTATGAATTTCTTTTAATTTATCAATAGATTTAATATTGGTTCTATTTTTTTTAAGGATAAGCAAATTCGTTCTATATTTATTCGTTTATTTTCTGAATTATTTGCTGGTTATCGTTCTTGTTTACTGATAATTCGTATCAATCCAAAGCCGGTTATTTCATTTCACAAGGTAGTTTAACAATTACTTTTTTTCTTCTCTCACCTTTAGCTGTATAACTTCTTGATTTAGGCCAGTTTTCTTGGTCACCATCGTCTAGTCAATGATGAATTTATGCAACGTGTTCTTGATTCAATGTCGTTCCATAAGTTTATCGAAGAAAGAGGTATGTTGATTGATCATATTAAAAATGAAAAAGACTACCACTTTCATTTTATCATTTATTTTTTGCTTGTAGGTCCACCTTATCGAAGTTGTGATATATTTGACGAGGTAGATATCAAGAATATGGAACTAGTATTACTGAATGGAATTCTTTTTTTTTCTCTACTAGGTATATGCATCGATTCACGAGCAATTGAAGCGTGAGTCAGATTCAACAACAAGTACACAAGAACATATAAGAGAATTAGCTAATCAATTACTTTTGAATGTATATAAAATATTTGGTCATCATTGTTCTGCATAATTGTTTTTAATTCTTTATTTTAAAGGAAAATCCATCTACACAACAAACTTATACTCAAAAAGTGACACAACCGTCAAATGCAAGTTATAATCGTACAAATTTATCAGAATTTCCACATTTAGAAAAAGATATAGTTCACAATGTCATTAAAGAAGGACTTAAACGACAACAAAATAGCAGGTATAAATCGAAACTAAATTTTGCATTGAATGTATTTCAATATTTCTGATTATTTAAGACCGTATTCAGCAAGAATAACCCAGCCATCTCTTATAAAAATTGGTACACCGATAAATATATTAAATGGTCGAACAGATTTATCACAATCAGCGAGACGATTAGAAGTGTTGAAGCAATGTGTTGGATATATATTTAATGATAAAATTGCAGATGCTAAAAAAGTGAGTCATCCATCCTTAAATTGAAAACAAAATGTAGTTTGAACACATATCTGCGATCATGTTGTGTCAGAATCAAATGTAAAGGTTTATATAGTTTAATATTAATATCTATGTTTATTTTAGACAAGTGGTGCTGTTTTTTATTCCCTTAAAAGTCATGAAGATGCTCGTATTGCATTATGTGTTGAATTAGCTTCGTATAAAAAGCAAAATAAACCACGTTTAAATAATCAACAATTTGAAATGATTGTCAATTTACTTAACTGTGCACTTGAAGTATGTTTTATATCTATTGTAGTATCGGCGTAATTATCTGTTTCTTATTCTCTAGGCTGGTTCACCTATTGATGAACATGGCATTGCCTATAAGATGCTTATTTTAGCAACAACATTTCATCGAGTAAATGATTATTTGATTTATTAATAAAAAGGAATCATTAGCATTTTTGTTGATTTTTAGAAATTAAGCGAAGAAGCAACACAATTTATTTACACGGATATTCAACGTCATCCTGTGTGGAATAATTTTCAATTTTGGGAAATGTCATTTTATTCCGATGTTCAATTACAAATTCGAAATTTATATCTGTCAAGTGAAGAATATATGTTTCATAATTCGAATAATAATAATAACAATGATTCGTCCTCTTCATCAACCGATACAACTACACATCATACACCGGTAAGAAACATTGAAAAAACTGCTCAACATATAAAAATTTTTATTTGATAATTTATTATTGAAGAAAACTGTCAACGATTCGTTTGATTATTCATCACAAAATGGTACAACATCAATAACTTCGAAAAGTGGTGAAAATAATATAAATTTGTTTCAAGAGAAAACAGCATTGGAAATAGCTGCTGAACAAGTAAAAGTCTTTATAACTAACTATTAACTAATCACAATTGAAGAATTAAAATTTATTATAGATGCGACTTTATACACAAAAATCTGTTGATGAACAACGATCAATGCAAGAATTAGAAGAACAAACATTATATGCATTAGCTATTCATTACATACAATTAATGGTGTATATGAAACTCCCATTGGATATATCCAGTTCACATATAAGACATTCAACATTTGCAAATGTTCATAATTCTCATACGGGATGTGATCGTGATAGTATAAGCAGTGATTTATTCCATAATAACGATCGTTACAGGTTTGCAAAATATTTTTAAATTTATCTGAAATTATACTAAATCCTTTACATGTTTAATTCATATGTGTATGGTTTATATCTAGCGTTCGAGATGCAGATGAAACTTCGACAATTGGTTCACGAGATAGTGGTAATGAATTTGATATGAATGATGATGAAGCGACTGATTTAGTATTAAGTTTTGTGAAAAAATTTGTTGATAAGATATGTGATGAGGGAGGAGTGACACAAGCACATAAGAATAGTCTTCATACAAAACTATTTCGTAAGTTATTCAATTTTTGCTTTTAAAGAAGTGATTTGTTGAAGTATTATTATTAATTTAGAAACTGTTCAAGTTCAAATCGAAGTATTAGAAAAAGTATACAGAGAAACTCGACGAGTTGCACCAATGCCAAAACCAACATTACCACGTTTTATTATGATTCCAGAAAATACAGAACATGAAGAATATTATGCTTTACGATCGTATCTTTTACCAGATGGAAGAGATGAATTTTTTAGTCAAAATTCAGTAGCATCGTTACTGCCTGCTGAAGGAGCCTTAATCATGACAAATTATCGTTTAATATTCAAAGGACGACCAGTTAATCCTACGAGTATGTGACATTTTTAGATTGTCGTATGCGATCTTACTCGTCCTGTTTATCTTTAGTTTCAAACGAATATCTTATCGTACGATCATTTCCAATCTCATCATTAATACGTGAGAAAAAGTTATCCGGACAAGTAATAAATTTGTATTAACTTTTTCTTTCTCTTTCCTTTCATTTGTATAAAGCTAAGAGAAGAAATGTGGAGTATTTTTAGATATATGTTGGGAATATTCTTCTCTGATTAGTTTAAAACAGTCTTTGTTTTCATGCTGATAGATATTTTTCTTGTTTTAGTTTCGCGTTGACAATTCGAATATATGTTTGCATAATGGCATGCAATTACGTTCAGCGACGTTTCAGGTTTGAACTGTTTATTAGATTAAAAACTATTAATCTCACTATCATTATCCAAATTTTTCTGATTATTTTAGTTAATCAAAGTTTATTTTGATGATGAAGTTTCTTTGGAAGATATAGAAAAATTTCGTAATAAATTAGTTGAAAAAAGATATCCAGAATCAGTGTTTCAATCATTTTCATTCTCGATATACAGTGAATTTAGTCCAGTTATGAATAAACAAAAAGATGGAACATTAAAGTAGGCGTCAAATAAAAAGTATTATTCGTTTATCTATTATAAAATATTCACATTCTTTTTAGAAAATATAGCCGTTATGCTCGAAATGTCTTACGTAAAAAAGGTTTAATTCCTGCAAAAGATTTAAATGTACATCATAATCGTAATAACTTTATTGGTAACAGTGGGAGTATGGGGGGTCATAATATTGGAAGTAATAAGACAATGTCAACAAGTACAAACAGTACAAAATATAATCAAGTTGTTATGATTCGTACACCTGAACCACCTAGACGTAGTCTTACATTATCCAATACTCGTTCTCCCAAATCGGTAACATCATCAACATTAAATCAAACATCATCAGTTACAACTACAACAACAATTCATGAATGTGACGAAATGATAAGAAATAATAGTGATGACGAAGACGAAGATAGCCTATCGAGTAAATAGATTGAATTAAAATGAAAACAATTTTCTTCATTTTCTCTCTTTTCTTTAGCGATTGATGAAGCCGATTCAACAAATTTCAATGATACAAAGAGCCTAGAACGGTATGCTGATAGTATTGTTTACAAAGATTTTGTACGACAAGGTTTAATAACAAATGTGACTGCATTTGGATTACGAACAACAATGAGAGCAGCTGCTGCTGCATCGCTTGCATCAGCTGTTTCTTTACCGGTACCAATAGCAACAAGTCCTTCATCAAATGATAGTAACGGACAGCAACAACCAACATTATCGTTAATGAATTCAAATATAGCTCCAACCGTACAAACCAATAGCAATAATAATGGCGTTCTCACCAATACAGTGTCGTTAACAAATGATGATTGTTTTCGTGTGTCACATATTAATAGAAATTTTACGTTTTGTCGAAGGTAAATCGTTCACACTATGTTTCATCAAACTAGAAGTCCTTGTATTAAAAGTATTTTTAAAAATTCAAACAGTACTTCCGCTTATAATCCACAGTTTTTCCTCAACTGTACAGCAAAAATTATCATGTTTAGTCGTTTTTTATCGAGAGCGTTCTCAATACTGTGTCTTGTTCGTAATGACGAAATCTTTTTCTTTGTAAACAAACACAAATATTCATACGAAAAACTTTTTACAACGTTTATCTCCTCATTTAGTTATCCACTGGTGCTTGTGTTACCAAAAGATGTGTTGGATGAAAGTTTAAAAAAGGTTGCACGTTGTCATAAACTTCAAAGGTAAATGTAAAAAAAAAGAATTATCGAATAAACTATAGACTATATTCACAATCTTTTTCTTTTAGAGTGCCTGTTATTGTTTGGCGAAATCCTCGTACAAAAGCACTATTACTTCGTGGTTCGGCATTTTGTAATAAAGGTTTTATCAATTTACTTGTTAAAGGACCACAAACAACAAACAGTATGTCGAATCATCTATTGCTTATCTCACAATGTAGATTATTTATTTATTACAGGTTCATCAAGCGATACAAATGCTAGTATCGAACAAGAACGTTATTTTGATGCAATTGTTAAACTAACACCGAATAAAATGCCATTTTCTGAAGTAGACAATGATGAAATCGAAACAACTCCTGAAATAACACCATTATCTGTACGAAAAAATCATCATTATCATCCAGCAACAACACGATTACAAAATTTTTTACCAGGACGTGTACTATATGATAGACCGAGAACAAGTAATATATTTTAAAAAAATTTCTCTCTCTTTTCTTGTTTTTTATTCATGTCATAATATATATACAAAACGACCACCGCTTTTCGTTTGTAGAAAATTCCTTGTTACGTTCCAGTTATATTGAGAATACCACTATAACATGTGCTAGTGGTAGCGTAAGATCACATAAAAATCGTTTTTCAGCAATGTTTAGTAGTAATAGCATAAGTAATGTTGCTATTAATGAAATACAATCGTCTAAGGGTAACTTAGTCAACTTAGCTTGTTGAATGACATAAAAATAGTCGATATATTAATAATTAGCTTCTATATATATATTTATATATCTACTCTATAAGACGGAAATGTTTTTATGCCTGCTTTTTTAAAAATTGCTTGTATATATTCAAAAATCAGATTCGAGATAATATATAATTTTTTTATATTTTTCTATATATTTAATTGTTTCTTTTAGCCAATATCAGTTCACAATCAACTGCTGACACATTATCACGAAGTGAAACAACCAGTCATCAAGGATCAGTTAATTCGCCAAGTGTTGGAGGAACAGTTGGTGTGAATAACGGGGCATTAGATGTGGATTTTAATGAATCAATTTTACAAGTTCATAAACGTTCGCCACTGTACATTATTGGTGATCGAGCACAATATCGAGTGAGTGAATTAATTCTGTAATATCAATATTTCTTATATATATCATTTTTTAATTTGTTTTAGACTGGTCGTTTGGAACAATTTCAAAATTATTGTTTTCTTCCACTAGAGTTTCATGATATTAGTCAGATAAAAACAAGTTTTAAAAATTTGTTAAAAGCGTGTGTTCCAAGTAATATGATACAAGTACCAAATAATAATTCAAATAATAATAATTTGGATACATCGACAACGATAACAACGGTTACATTTTTTAAATTAATTGAAGAATCGAGATGGTTACATCAAGTAGGCATATAATAATCTCACAATTATTGATAGTTCTATTTGATATATTTATTTTTATTTTTAGCTTCAAAAAATATTAATGGTTAGTCAATATATAGTTCAATTTAGCGAAGATCATGCATCATCCGTAATGATTTGTATTGAAGATGGATGGGATGTATCGTCGCAGGTACTATTTTATTTTGAGGAAACTTATGTTTCAATCACTCATGTCTACTATGTTCATATTTTAGCTTGTATCAATAAGTGAAATACTTCTTGATCCATATTATCGTACATTTGACGGTTTTCAAACATTAATTGAACGTGAATGGTTTGCATTTGGACATCGATTTTCCCATCGTTCTAATCAGACAGTTGCAAATAAAACTGGATTTGCAGCTGTTTTCTTACAATTTCTTGATCTTGTCCATCAGGTAAAGTTATTTATTATCATAAATGAATATATTACTATTATAGAAGAAAATTATCTTCCTTAGATATGGAATCAATATCCTACTGAATTTGAATTTAATGATTACTATTTACGTTTTATTGCCTATCATCATTTGTCAAATCGTTTTAAAAATTTTATGCTTAATTGTGATAGTGAAAGAAAAACAAATCCAAATTGGTATGTTGATATGAAAGATTTTTCAAGAGAACAAGATGATTTTGGTAAGTTAATTGTATTCTAATTTTATTACATTTTCATATGAATTTTCTATGCAGGTTTATTTCGATGTAACACAATAAACATATGGGATTACATTACAAAAGTGAATCGTGAATCATCTCGTTTTTATAATTTTTTATATTCACCATCATGTTTTACATCTCATAGTTTAACTGATGATAATACTGTACTACGACCATCGTATAAAATGTGCTCGTTAGATGTATGGGATTTTTATTTATGTGAAACATTAGAAACAGGGTGTACATATGATTTGGATTTATCAGCAGCTGAACATGATGAACGTTTTAATGATACAGAATTAAAACAGCGAACATTCGTAGCAGCATTTTATGACGATGTGAATGTCTGCCTACCAGACTTTTTTGCTGATATTGTCTCGGTATACTTTAATTATAATCACTCTTTTATTCACGTTTGCTAATGTACTTCTTTTAACATAGGAAATGTCAAATACACTACAACATACCGGTGATAGTTGGAAACATCATTGGGATAAAATTGAAAAACCAGAAAGAGAACGAGCACAGGTATATTTCAAACAAGAATCGATGTTGTGACGTGTACCATTCTTATAACTCTTCATTTTTATGAAACTTCTATTTACGAGTAGAAGTTTAGATCTAGAAAAATTACCATATGTGATGTTATTTACGTTCTTCCTCCATCTTTTCGTAGAGAAACAGATAATATTCTTAGCCTAATAAAAAAATGTCATACAGTATTTTTAACGTAGTATATAGAAAAGTAATATGTGAGGACAAATAGAAGATCCACTTTTAGACTCTAAGATCTATACACTCAAGATTTTTTCTAGCGTTTATCAATGCAAGATGAATCACTAAAGAAGAAATTTTTACAACAGAGTCAGCAACAAAATAAATCACTATCGTTGTCTGCATCATCTCGAACATCATCAATGTATGGTAATCATTGCTACGAATTAATTCAGTTTCAAACACCACAAATATGCGAAGGATGCCATGAAATAATTGAGAATAGTAATAACAAAAAACTATATAATGGTAGGTAGAATGATTTCTACTAAAATAGTAGAAGAATAGTCTTGTTTTGTATAAAAATATCCGAATATATTTCATTATTTAGACGTCATTCGTGGTTTACAATGTCGTGAATGTTTATCATGTTATCATGAAAATTGTCGTACGTTAGGTTCAAATCGTCCGTGTCGACAACGAAATGAATCTCAAACTGTTGTTAATTCAAGTCGATTAGAAACGGGTAGTGTTACAGGTTCGTATATTACATGTCTAGTTGTTCAAAAAAATTTTCTTTGTGATAAAAGCACTCGTAATTGACACCACAATATCGTTTATAGACATAACCGATGTTTTACTGGAAAAAGCTGGTAAAAAATAAAATAAACTTTTAGTCGTACAATATACACGTTCATACACATGCACACACATTATGCTAACTTGTGGTAGCTTGGATTTTTCACCTACACTTTTACACATACACTCTAATAATTAAAATTAACATAGAATAGAAAAATCATCTTATTGTTGCTTTAATTGTCCCAAGTCTAAAATAGTTTAAAACGCTACTTTAAACATGACAATGGGGTTTAATAGGTTTAGATTACTACCGATAATGATACTTATGTAATTCATTTATAGAAACAACATTCATATGTTTTATTATTAAAGGAGTGTATGATCATGGACCATCATCTTCTCTTGGAGTGGGCAGTGGAGGTGGTCCACAACATCGAACGTACGAAGGATATTTGAGAAAACGTGGTCATTTGCTTAAACAATGGAAAGAAAGATGGTTTGTTCTTGATTCAGTTCGACATGAAGTAAGAATGGTTTATTATATTTTGAAAAATAATATATTTAAACATTTCTTCTCATTTTTTTTTTCAGTTACGTTATTACGATAGTAGTGATGATCAAACACCCAAGGGCACGATACTTTTGGCTGACGCTGTTGAAGTTGTGCCGTATACGGGACCTTTACCAAACGCATTAAGAAGATTTGATAATCGAGCAGCATTTGAAGTAAGCACTTTTCTGAGCATACATACGTTTTAATCAATACATCTTTATTTTTTTAATGAAAACATCGTTAAACAACATAATTTGTCTGTTTTTAGCTTCATACAAATCGTCGTGTATACAATTTTATTGCTCAAACAGCACAAGAAGCACGAACATGGACAGAAAAGATTAAAACATGTCTTTTAGATTCTTAAACATTTTTTTTATCTGAACAATTTTGAATCTCTCTCAACGTGCTGTCTTCATTTCTTTATTGATGTATTTTTTTCTCTTTCTCTCTATTGCAGTATTAATTATATATACTCGAGTGTGTTTCTTGTTTTCGTTCGAAATCTAGCAGTATTATGTTTTTTGTGCAATATACTCACTCTTTTTTTTCTTTTTAAAAAATCAATACTTTATTTTCTTTTTCATCTTGTATACATTCGGGTTTTTTTCTTCTCATATATTCTTGCCGTGACATGTTATTGGCACTGTATGATACGATGAGCACACAAACGTTAGACTAGATATAAGGTCAAATATGTATTTACCATTTTTTCTTTGCTGAACTTAGCCGTTTGTAAAAGTGTCAGTTGTTTGTGTATTTATGTTTTTAGAACTTAAAAAAAAATGTATTGATATATAATATTATACAGGAACAACTTGTTGTATTATTTTTCTTTCAATTTATTGCATTTTTTTTTTTTTTATCTGAAATACAAGTGCTTCAAGTAATCTTATTCAGAAAACAAAATGTATAAACGATAAATGAATAAATAACACAATTGAAAAAATGACTTATATTTGACAGATATAAATGCATGAACGAGTAAAAAGTGTTTAATTTCATCGACGTAAACTTTGTCAAAAAGAGTACAACTACCATATTTCGATTTTCATAGCAAACATCTTACGGTGGTAATGATACTTAAAAGACAACAAAACTTTAGGTGATTCCATATATAGAATCGTTAAATACTGAACAAGTTTCAAAATCAATAAAAAAAATTGTACAAAAACAGGTGGCTTTCAGCAGTTAGTTGGCTAGTCTCATTGTTTGATACTTTCTGACTAGTATTTTATTTACATTTTTGCAATTAGATATCGTGATTTATTATCTTATAGCTACTAATGAATAATTTATTTATATCTCGTTAAATTCTCAGATAAAAAGTTATTTGTTTTTACATGTATCGATGGTGTCAGATTATTCGTTTTTCAAAGTGTGTTCATTGTCTTGAAACATTTGCTTGTCAGTATTCAACACAGTCGGCAGTAAAACAAACATCAACTCAACAAAAACATATTTTAAAAGATAATGATGGTGAAGATGATCATCATTTAACGTCCTTGTTTTCATCATCTTATTACATTGATGCTGATTCAAAATCAAAATTAATTTCTGGAAAAAATAAGAATAAAAATAAACAAAAACAACAACGACAGCCGCTTAGTCAAACAACAAAATTAGTGGCTGATGCAGATCAATTTGGAACATTGAGTGGAATTGATACAGATGGTGACAAAGAATTTTTCGGGTAAAGTCATAAAAACGATCAAAAAAACTGTTTTCTACTACCATACTGACATTCACCTTTTTTTAGGGATACATTCGTCACAGATGATGGTTTGATTGTTAATAATAAATATCAGCCAAGTATCAATAATGATGATGATGGGATAAATCAGGAAGAACTTGATGAGCCTCGACAATTAGCCATAGATGGGCGTCGTTTTCCAATTTGGTATTATGCATCAAAACTACGATCACTTGGAACCACCAATAAGGTATTCAAAGTTTAGAAACTTTTTTAAAGAGCGAAACAAGGACTTTTTCTTGTTTTTACGACTTTTTTGTTTTAGGTTCAAGAAGCGTTAGATTATTTTTATAAGACGATAATGGATAAAGAACGTGTAGCACCGAATATGTTTTGTTACCAAGTTGTAATTGGCGTTTGTGCACGAAATGGCTATTTATCACAAGCATTTCAACTTTATCGTGAAGTAAATTTGAATATTGTCAAAAATGAATTCCAGTGGACCATACTTTTGTTTTAGATGAAAGATCGTGGTTTTAATGGAATGTATACAAATAAAATGTCAAAAATTTTTACATTATTAGCAACAGCTTGTTATCGGTCATCCGATAAACATCTTAGTATTGATTATGCAACAAAACTTATCGATGATATTAAAGAAAAAGGCATGTATGTGATTCTAGAAAGTATATATATAAACAATATGAAAAGAAAAAAATGTTGATCATTTTCAGGTTATTCAATTCAATTTAATACGTATAATGCGTTGATTAGTGCATTTGGTAAACATGGTGATTTGAAGCGTGCATTTCAGTTAGCTGATGAAATGGTTGAATTAGGATGGATACCAAATCATGAAACCTACGTAGCATTGTTAATTGCTTGTGGTTCGGAACCAACTGATGGTTTAAGATATGCGATTGAGGTGAGGTTAGCTATGAAACATTTGATAGTTTATTTAACTGTTGTTCATTTTTAATTTTAGATTTGGCGTCGAATGCTTACGTTTCGTATTAGACCGACAGTATTTCATTTCGGTTTATTACTGCGTGCCGTTCATCACTGTGGACTGGGATCACAGAGCGCCGTTAATGAATTACTTGTTTCACAACCACATCATCCACTATTAAAGGATGATGACAGAAATACTAACCAGTTCAATCAACTAACCATCGAATATTCACAACCTTCATCCTCATTTTTTTCATATCTCATACCATCATCGTCAAACGAGACCGTTACTACTATGTCAATCGAAGAAGATCAAACATCCAAGCATGCTTCGTTATCTTCAATATCATCAAACAATAACAACTCTAAATTATCGATAACAGATGATATTCTAGAACCAATGTCATATGAAATATTGAATAAAGATGATATTCAAGCTGATGAATTATTGAAATATAAACAATCAGAATGGTGGCAGAGTGCTGATGATATACGATCGGGTCAAATAACAGCCAATCAGTTACAACCATTTGGTGATGCGAGTATTCTCAAATCTAATGTATGTTACAAAGACACAAATATTGTTGGCTTAACACTACCGAAAACACCAGCTGAACGACTAATGTTACTAGGTGGAATACCAGGAATATTAAAACATATGAAAGAGTGTAACGTTCAGCCCAACATTATTATATTTAATCATTTTCTTGAGGTGAATATTGAACGTGTCAAGTTAAATTTCATTAATTAAATTCATTTTTTTATCTATTTAGCTTCTGCCATTGATTAACGAACATGAACATGCTCTGTTACACGTGATGAAAATGTGTGAAGTTAAACCAACGTTACAATTTTTTAATATTTTGATTCTTAGAAGATTACGCCGTCGTTCATTAAAAGAATCAAAAGTAATGTTACATTTAGCTTAACTTTACTACAAACATATCTCATATTTTTTAATTGATAGGAAGTCATAGAATTAATGCGCGATTACTGTATCACACCCGATATCTATACATTTTCGGCATTAGCAAAAGGATGTTTAACAAAAGATGATAGTGCGCAATTACTTATCGATATGCAGGTAGTTGTGTGTTTGTTAGTGCTGATTATCCCAAAAATGATAATCATTGCATGCATTTTTTGTTAAGGAACTTAATCTTAAACCAAATCAATACATTCTGGGTTCAATGTTACAAAATGCTTTTAATCGTGATAATTTTCCTTATATGTCATTTATTTGTAATGCTTATCGAACGTATGATCTAGCTGTACATCCTATATTTTTAAAAAAAATTGAAAATTATTTACTTCGCACACGTTCAAGAATCCTCGCTTTGGTATGACTGCTTTTTTTCTCTATTTCGCGTTTAAATACTTAATTTGCTTTTTGTTTTGATTTTAAGGAGCGTCAAAATGTACAAGATGAAAAATATAATATCCTTAATGCAACTTATAATCGATTTCAAAAATTTTATGATCATTGGTTAAAAAGTATTCCTTATCAAAAACGTTATGATCAAAAAGTGACATTTATGTATGATAAACCGAAATTAAAATGACGTTAATAACGATAGATACTTGCCTTTTATATTTTGTTTTGCTATTATATTACTGAATAAATCATAACTAGTAGCCGCTGTCGGATATCGACAAACAAAATGATTTTGATAGCGAATAAGAACAAATTAAACCATATTTCTATTTTGCAAAGTTTTGCCGCGAGAGAAGCCTAAAAAATCAGTTTCAGAGGACGAAGAAAAAAATTCGTATCAAGTCTGGCATAAGGAGAATGTCAAAAGAATAAATCAGGAAATCAGGAATAAATTTATTGATCTCGCCACGTGTCTTTATCCAAAACGTTCTTACAGAAGTTTTTCATGTCCATCTTTTCTATATCATTTTAACTCGATCTGATCAATCTTTAATATGTCTGAACCAGTGTAATCTATTTCATCTAAGAATATTTTGCATTGCTATTTATCATGTTATTTCCTCAGTGTATCATTTGACATTCTGTATTTTATGCAAACAGCTGAAAAAATGCATGTCAATTTTTTTCATTAGATATCGTTACAGTCCACGCTTCACTTCCATCGAATACATTCACTAGGATAGATACGTAAAACTGGGCACCTTCTCGCTTTCACTGTATCACTCGCATCTTGTTCAAATTGTTTCTGCGACATTATACCCGTCTTTTTAATTTTCATAGATTTTTTAGTTGGACCATACTGTTGAGTAACTCTCTCAAAGTCGATACCATCCTCATATTCACTCACAGTCAGACTATAATCAGCACATAACCGATTTATCAATTCTTCCGATCGATCGCCCTCGTCCTGACTCCGATGCGAAACGCAAAGTCGGATCCGAAGAAACGTCATATTGAAAAGCATCAACTGTCAGTCGCTCAAATGTCGATTAATAAACAAGCTTCAGGGCACATGATATTTAGGATGTTCTACGTACTATTAATAAAAAAAGATACAAAAACATTTGACTAAACTTTATTGTTGTTCGAAAGAGTTGTGAGAATCCTGCAAAAAATATTGTTGCTGGCACTTATTCGGCACCAGTGCCAGAAAGATTTTCAATTTTCGCACTGATGCTCACCGTGCGGATTGATACTTTTTCATTGGCAGAGGTGCGCACTGGTGCCAGGCAGTGCCAGCGATCGATGGCATGCATGCGCACCGGCAGTGCCGCATTGGGATTCTTTTGTAGAGAAAGTAATAGTTTTACAGTTTTTTATTTCATAGTATTATTTAACGGACAATATTAACTATATCCTGAAGTTTTTAGCTCGTTATAATGTCATTTGAGTGAGTGACAGAAGTTTTCTAACGTTTAGGGGAAGATCTGAGTTTTTCTTAACCTTTCTTAGTTTATAGAGGACACTTCGAAACGTATCATGCAAAACGTAACTCTGCTACCGGAATCTCTGTACGTTACCGTTTTTTCTCTTTTCGTCTATTCTATAATATTCGGAAAGAATATCGTAGAATCCTGGAAAGCGTCTTGTTTTGTAGAATGAAGTGCGTTCTTCAAAATCCATCACTAGCTCAATTCGAAATAATTGACGACTTTTCGGTTACAATCGAAATACTAAAAGTCCTAAAAACAAACGACAATGTTTTTGGGACTCTTCGTATTTTAAGTATAGCATAAAAAGCGTCATTTATTTTGAATTGAGCTAGTGATGGATTTTGAAGAACACACTTCATTCTACAAAACAAGACGCTTTCCAGGATTCCACGATATTCTTTCCGAATATTATAGGATAGACGAAAAGAGAAAAAACGGTAACGCTCAGAGATTTCGGTAGCAGAGTTACGCGTTTTGCATGATATGTTCTGAAATTTTTTCTGCTTACTGGCATTATCTAACTGGAAATAGAAAGTAATTACTTAGAAATATATTGTTTAAAAAAATACCTATTCGTTCTCCATTTATTAGAAAAATTTAGTTCATTCGAAGGTCGAAGAGTGTGGAATATTTACTACGAGAAGGTGTGTAAAAACTCTTCTTTCTTTTCTTCCAGGTATAGAGTAATTAGTGCTAAATCTGTGACAGTTCATGATTTCTATTCAACGAATGAGAACTGTTTCCAGTTTCCGTTCCTGAACTAGAAACGGTTCCACAATTCATACTCATAGGAACGAGGAATGGCTCATCAGTTTCTAGTTTCTTCGAAGAGGAATTACAGTTGTTTTTTAACGAGGAACTGTTCATGCCCTCGTTCTTCTTATTGTTCTGGCAGTTTGCTCACTCTTTCAAAATGTTTGTTGTTTATCTTCGTATCTATCTTCGAGCAGACATATGTGGGAATCTCGAAATGAGGAATAGGGGTAATCGACTACGCTGAGCATAGTGGCAACATTTGTTTTTGTGTAAAAATGAATATAACTTCGCCAGAGACACTTTTGTGAAAAACCGTTTTTTCGCCTGTTACCAGCAAAAATTTAAAATTCCTTATATCGCGGTCAAATCTCATGCTGACCCAAGGAAACTTTCAGGAAAGACTTAAAAGGCGTCATATATTGTTGATCAAGTCGAAAAAGTGGTCCGGCAGAACAATGAGGCTTTGAGCTTTTTCAGGAGGTTTGTGGAAAACCATAAACCAATGCCCAGCTGAAATTCACTTTTTCTGTCTTCGGTTATATTTATGAGCTATCCTGAGTGTTTCCTGAAGTTTCCTTGAGTCAGCATGAGATTTGACCGAGATATAAGATAAGATCCTAAATTTGCTTACAAAAACATGTTCTAGGGTCTTAGCAACACGATGGTGAAAATCGCAGGTCGCTATCTATCAGTGTGATTGAGTATTTCCAAAAGTAACCAATGGTCTTGTATTTTGGGACGGATAGTGGTTCAGGAACCGAATGAGATGTAGCTCTTGTTAACAACGCACTACCTAAATACTATGACTGAACATTTAAAATGTATATATAAGGGACAACAGGTATACTAAAGTTTCTAGAAAGAAGAAAGAAATATATAAAAAAGAATATTGCCGATAGTAGAAAATAATATTTTTCCATCAGAACAATTTAAAAGCATGGAATAAAATGAGCTTTTTGAGCCGCAAGCAATATCTTGGAAAGATTTTCCCGTCTTTCTTACATTTATCTTGAAAACGAACGTCAGAATTTTGATGTAGTTGAAAAAATACATCTATGACAGTTTTGACAGATTGTGTGGTTACCTTCCGGCATTTTTCAAAAAGTTGTGACTTGAAAAACATTATAAATCGATGTGATACAGAGAACGAATGAATACGAATACGACAAAAGTTAAGTAAGCATTCTCGTGTTCTTTAAAATATAATTTGCATTGTTCTACACAAAAGCACTTCCTACGGTGTTTTTCTGGGACCGAAACTACTGCTTTCCAACACAGGTAACTTTGCACATATAGAAAAGGTGCATTTTTTCTCATTGACATTTTGAGAGTCCCATCCTAGTGAATGTACTTGCGAGTGGGTACTTGACTAAGTGCCTACATGCAAGTACATTCATTCGGGCATTCTATTTCACATCTTCCAATAATAAATTGGTCACTTTAAATTACGTTACTAGAGTTCATGATTCTCTTCTGATACGTTTGGTGTATCTTTCTAATTCTGCACATATTTCTCAATATGCAATGATGTTTTGTTTTCGATAATCGTCTAATTCATTATATATAATTCTATTCTACAACAACTTCTCTCCGTGGATTTGAAGTGAAAAAATTCTAAACGTGTATAAGAATCATCACTAAAGAAGAAATTCAAAAGGCTTTTTTCTTTAATGATCAAAATGCCAGAAGGTCAGTATATGTTGTCTTTTTATGTATTAACAGTATATAATTTTCCATTTATTGGTACTTCGACATTAAGAAACGTCATACATCTAAATAACGTTTTTCTCTACAGAGAAGTTGATTTTGCTGAAAACTTTCGTTTCAATATGCATACATTGACAAAGCTTGAAGTGAGAAAGAAAATGTCTAATAATCTTAATATATCTACAATCAAAGTAGAGACAGACATTGCCTGATATGTTAAGGGTACCCCTCTTCGAAACTTTCAAAAACCAACTAAGTTTAGTTGAAAGATTTAGTTTTGTTACACTAAGGAAAGAAATTAATATATTTTAAATAATGACTTTTTTTTCCCGGTCGAATAATATCTGTTTGCTATAATAAACTTCAAGACATATACTTTGAAGTATTCTCTATAAACTAGAGAAGTTTGAGGAAAAACCTCAAGACTTGAAAATTCTGCTAGTTTTTGGTTGACGAAAAAACCTGACCAGATGTTGACGTTTGTTCTCAGTGTTAGAGAATATTGTTGTAATAAAAAGTCTAAAACAAATATTTGGGCCTTCAACTTTTCTACATATTGAAAAGTTTAATTTTTATTTCATTAAGAAAAAAACTTGATCCGACATAATGTTTTTCCCTGGCCTATGCTTCTCTTTAATAGAGAATCACTCACGTATTCTTATATTTGATCCTCAAGTTGAAACGTTCTGAATCGGGGAAGAAAACACATAGTCTAATTAACACGATCTCACGTGACTGTTTTTGCATATTTGGGAAACAGAGAAAAATATATGAAAATAACTGCAACATTCTATTATATATATTTTACTATTCAAAGGAAGTTGTTTGACTCTACAGAAGATCAGAATATGAAGAAATTACGTTGGAAGAGCGAGGAGATGGGGTTGTCTTAATATCTAAAAAAATAAAAAGGATCTGCCTATATAATCCTATATAATGCCACGCACCGAATACCGGTCGTAAGACTTAAAGAAAAGTCGATATTATGTTTACAATTCGAGTGTCACATGAACATTATTTAGTCTCAAACGACGAGCTTCCTTTTAATGATAGTTTTTATAGTGGAACTCCGATATCCCGAAATGAATACTAGTATGTAGATTTGTTGTTAATGAAATTATTTTTGTTATTTTTGATCATTTTTTCAGCCGTATTGAAATCACAGAGAATGATGCTTTATTTTTGATCAAGTAGAAGCGAATCCAATCGGTTAACTTACAATCTTAGAACG